TGAAATGCTAATTAATATGTCTAAGCACATTAGTCTATAGAGTAAAATTTAGCATTAATCAGTTTTCATTATAGAAGTATCACATACTGTGTACTCAATTTCACTCTAGTGTTTACATTTTCATTCTATTACGTATCCCACTAAAATTTTGGTTGTTTTGTTTCACAATTTTAATATTTTTGTACATTTTTTTCATCAACTATTATTTACTTCTTGTTAACTGGACACAGACTAATCATTTGGGAAGCTGGATTTGAGGATTTATCTAAATCATGTTGGCTTATGAGCATGTCTGTGGGGCATTTACTTGTTTGATGATTGATTCAGTTGTATCTGGACCACTGTGGGCAATTCTATGCCTTGGTAAAGATGATGTTCTCCTGTATAAGGAAAATAACTGGAAAAATAAGGGAAACAAACAAGGAAGGATTATTCCCTCATGGTCTTTGCTTTAGTTTCTGCCTCAGGGTACCTACCTTGCACCCTTGCCTTGGTTTCCTCAATGATACATTTTAAAGTTTAAGCATGATAACCCTTTCCCTTCCAAGTTTGCTTTTGGCCAGTGTTATTTATCACAAAAATACAAAGCAAACTAGGACATTGCTCTTTGAGAACTGAGTTCAGCTTTCAGCACCAAAATTAGGCAGTGCAAATATGCCTCAAGCTAAAGGGAAATCCATTGCCTCATGTCTCTGTGGACAACTTACACAAACCTAAACTCCCTACAACACATAATTTAAATTAAAAGTAAACCTATAGGAATTCACATTTGCTTTAAGTAAAAACATACTTTGTGTTAAATGCTTCTTTTTTACTGATTCATATAATTTACATTTGTTTGCAATTGAATATTTATTATGTTTTTATCTGAACTGATCTTTTCAGAAATTTCTATACAGATCATTTAAGGTCATTGGTAGAAGGAGAGTAAGAAGACAGAACAAGTACAGAGAAAGAAGGGTTTAAAAAAATGTGCTGAAGCTACCTCATAATGCAAGAGAGATGGGACTATCAAAAGAGACTGTCTGAAAATACAATCGTATATATTCTATAAAGACTTTTTTCCAGCATAATATTAGATATCATAATATTTCTGAAACAAATCTTCGGTGGTTCCTCTTTATCTCCACTTAGAGCCCTTCCCATATTCTATCACACCACACCTAATATTTTCTTGTACTCAACTTGTGTCCTTTTGATCTCCCTCTTCCTCAATATCTGTGATCTGTTCCACTTAGTGGTATTTAGTATCAGAGCATATATTCAGCCTTGTATGCCCATATTTACATTCATATAAACATTCAAATAAGGATCCACATTTGACAAAGAAGATATAATTTTTATGTTAGCAAATCTGAGTCAACTCAATATAGTTGGAAAAAACAGAAGTTACTACCTAAGATATATTAAATACACAGAAAACAGGAAGGAAAAATCCAGAAAAACTGACAGTTTCATTCCAAGATATTGAATACCTGTAAAAAAAAATATTGATCGTAATACAGGGATAAGAAGAGGAAATGCAAGAATGGACTAAAAATGAACTGGTTTCCTTGATATCCTCAGAGAATTAAAACTGATGCCAATAAATGAAACTAAACTTTAAAAGCCATTTATGTAATTTCATAAATCAGTAGTTTCTAATTTTTTTGATGAGTACTTTTCCAGCTTATGTATATATAGGAGTAACAACTTAATTGACTCCATGTAAGAAAAATATCAATCAGGTCATTATGAACATTATGATACAAAATTCATGTATGTGTCATCTATGTCTATTTTCTAGAAGTTCTAATTAATTTGTCTTAACTTATAGATGAATCTTGTATTTACTTCAGTTCTGCCATTTCTCCTTTCATCTTCTCACCTGCTTTCCAAAATTTCCTCTCCTCTTTATGATTTCTTTTATAATTATAATTGAATAATTATATAATTTTGTAGTGATATATTGTATACATACACTCAGCCTATAGTATATTTAGAGTTGCTACTGTGCAGGTATCTGTTTATGGCTGGATATTTGACCATGTAGGGTTGGATAACATATCAGGGAGCTTAAGAAAAGTACCAAGAAAAAAAATGACCCTCTCTCAACAGTAATTGCTTGCCTGTAGCTCTCTATCTAGAGGTGGAACCTTGTGAAAATTTCCCCAATCTTGTTGATATGTCACCTGGAATTGTCATTATGCATAACTTGCTTTGGCAACCACATTGTTGACAATTCATGAATGCAACTCCCCTATCATGTACAAGAGACACCATATTGTAACAGACATTCTCTTTTTTGAATCCACCACTCTTTTTGCTATATGACCCAGCTATACTACTGACAGTCAAGTACCCCCCAAAAAAATCCTATCTACCACGAGATACTTGTTCATCCTTGTTCATTGACACACAATAAAAATGAAAGCAATCCAATTGTCTTTTAAGTAAAGAATGGATAATGAAAACAAGGTCATATTTACAATAGAATTTACAAAAATTAAAATGATTAAATCTGTAAGGATGTGAGCAGAAATTGGAAAGATATTGATACTTGTATGGTAGGATAGATTGTATATAGTTTAAGTGAACTTAAACATATGGAGGAAATAATTCTCCCTGCAAGAACCATAGATTATATAACAAACCATTAGTACCTGTGTATCATGAAAACTTAGTTTTAAATTCTTAGAATAGTTCAGGAGACTTTCAAAATAATTGAAGGTATTTCTGTCATCTTTGGTTGACTACTAGAATTTGAGTGTAGGACACCATTAAAGCAGCCCTACACTTTGTAAACAGTATTTGAAGGAATCATGTGGAGATGACTTGTTAGCCTCCTCTCTAAGTACAAGCTGCAATATTATTGAAAGGTACTGTGCAAGTTGCCAATTTTTAGAAAAATAGTGGAAAAATCTAGGACCCATAACAATGACTGTCCCAGAAGTATACACACAATGGTTAAATAGTCTCACTTTCATGTAAGGAGTAGTTAATAACTGCCTAATTGGACTTAAGGTCTATTCAGTAGGAGGAATTTCATGCCTTGCACTAAAAATGCTGCTACTTATTCATGGCTAAAGAGCTCATAGACCCAGAAGATAATCTACGTCTCCTATTTTTCTAAAGCAATATAGCTTCTAACTGTATTCTAAAATGTATATTTATACACACAGATTAGTGAAGATTTCCCTTTTTCCCCATGTTCACTTCAACAAGAGATAGAGACAATTACAGAGATCCCCAGCTGGTCAAAGTACAGAAAATAAGTGACTATGACTACTACATCTATAATATAAATAGTAGAACTGAAAGTTTGTTTTAGTACTTTTGTAAATTTATATCTTATTTTACAGGAGCCACAACTTGATAATAAATGAGAATGCTTACCTACTTTTGGCTCTTCTTTAGTCAATAGTTTGAAGTCTTCAAAATAAATTATCTTCTTATAGTTTGAAAATATTTATACCCATATATGTGTCTATTTTTCTTGTAAAGTGATTTAATGTCTTCTTTACTTATATTCATATTTGTTTTAGTTTCAGCTTCCAAATGGTCATTGTTACCTTGGAACTTAATGCACTATCATGCATTAGCCTTTTACACTTGGGTTACATTCACACATTATTTCTAGAGAACTTTGGGAGAATTGATGGAATTTTCTACATAAATTCACAAAGTCTATATGTAAGGAATATAGTCTCAAATTTTCTGTTCTATTGAACTTAATTTTCTGCTCATGCAGGCCAGTATAGGGCAATTCTTATCTTATTTTCATGTAACTAGAAGTTTTTCATCTCTCCCTAGAGTCTTGTAATGATTCAGCCATGCTGGCCTTTTATTGTTTATGTTCACATTTATACTCAGATTGCCTTGAAAGGGAGTTGCTCTATCCTTTTTGATCATATTATTTTAGTATTACCCTGTTGAAAACAAAGTGAAAGACTGTATATCGAATACAAGTACTATATAAGAGTAAAAATAGATTCTGCTTGTGACAGTAAAGGTGAAACAGTTGTAAAAGGCCATGAGAAATGATTTTATTCTCTCATTGAACATACTATTTAGGCAGTTCATTTAGCTCTTTTGGGATAAAGACATGTATTCTTCAATAAATTTGCTAATAGATTTTATAGGCAACATATATCTCTTTGCTGCAAAAACCATGTTCATAATATCTTCAAATAGAAACATAATCAATTCTTTAAATTTTACAGTATGAAATGAGAAATATTTATATTGGTTTTGTAAAGTAAATTAGTGTCATATGTAAAAATAAACATACATTATTTGGGCCCTACATATATTTTTTTCAATGAATTTTCTTATTTCTGCAGCCTTGAAGATAATAATCTACATCAATAGTTCTTATGTAATTATTGTTTTTCATGAAATACTGTGTTTTTTCTATTTAGATAAATTTTATTTTAATTATTTTTCTATACAGTCGTCAGAAAAGACATAGGTCCAATATTGTATATGGCAGAAAATGTAGGAACCTTAGAAGTGATTCTAAGAGTCTTCTTGTGCTATAGCCTGTGAATCTATACATCCTCTTAGGCCATTTCAAGACTTGCGATGTAAGATACAAGCCCCAGCCTCTGATATACAACAGTGAAAAATTTCCAGCTAAGTGCTTATTCTTGCAAATATTTTATAATTTACATTGTTCAAGCTTTTCTACATTCCCAAATAAACTAAAATTTCATGAAATGAGATAATTGTTTTTAAAAATATTGAAGGATGTACAGATTTTTCAAAGAAGAAACCAAATTTCAAAAACTGATTATGTGCTGTTTTAATATTTCCTGTCATCTAGAAGTGAAAGGCTATCTAAAAACACAGTTATTAATTAACTTGGCATGTCAGAGAGGTATGTTTATATAAACTACTTTCAGGGCTAAGGCTTCAGAATTGAATGTTGAACAGAAGAGTATTAAACATTGATAGGCTTGTGAAAGTGCAATAAAACTTTATGACGAGTCAATATATACCTGAGCAGTTTTCTCTGATCATTACTTTAACAGCCTTGCCCAACTCCAGCACAACACAGCAAACACTACAGGCTATGAGCTAAGGTAAGTCTCCAGGTCCCAGCAGATCATTATGGTCATGTTTCTAAGCAAAATAAGTTTTACTTTATTTATGTTAGATATACCTGAATATTTTAAAAATAGTAAAATAGTTTCTCATTTTAAGTATGCTGATTCTTCTAAAAGCAGAGAAACAAGGTCAAGTTTTATAAAATATAGAAATTTTTTTCTAGTTTGCTTTAACACTTCTTTTGTCCAAATGAAAGTCCAATTTTGGTTTGGTTTAAATTCTTAATAGCAGAGAATTTATGTGAATTTTTGTGGAAAAATACTGGGATACTCCAGGTACTGTAAATATATTTATTTAAGAATATTTCCATAAGCAGAATAGATTCTAGATATATAAAATATTTAATTGTTGCTAGCAGAACATTAAAATAACATCAAACACTACCATCTAATAAATTATTATTCATGTAAAATTGTTTATCAATTGTTATTTCCCCTGAAGCTTTGCTTAAAATTAGTATGATCTGAAAAATAATTGATGTCATTTTCAGCCACAGAAAATGAATAATTTTAGTCCTTATTGTCTGTGAATATGCTCATCCAATTTGATTTTTTATATTACCTTTATCCTTGTTTTGCACATAACTGTTATCCTTACTTTCATAAAGGAGGGCTGATGTCACATAGTATGCATTTTCAAGTATTTTTATATTATTTTGATTTGTAAAATTATGTTTTTTCCAATTTTTTTGAAATTACAATATTATTACTTTATATTCACCCCTTTCTTCCATCTAACACTCTCTCCATGTTTTCTTTCAAATCTTTGATTTCTTTCTTTAATCGTTGTTGTTGCATATATAGATGCCCACAGCTTTGTTAGCTTAGAAAGTAATATGTAGACATTAATAATTAATTGTGACTTATTTACAAAAAAATGCTCATTTAAACACAGTTACCTTTCTTTCCTCAGATGGCAAAGAAGAAATTCAGTGGATTAGAAATCTTTCTGATCGTCCTCTTCATCATAGTAACGATAATAGCTGTTGCTCTGGTTGTTGTTTTGGCAACAAAGGTGCCAGCTGTGGAAGGTAAGTAACACTGCTTTAAGCAGCAGAGTGAAGTCAGGGGGAAGTCATTCCACAGTAGCAGTGGCTTCAAAACTGTGTTGGTGTCTGTGAGGGTGAAGTAATGAACTAACTCACACAAGTTGTAAGTTTCCTCTTGTTTCCATAATTATGCTATAGCACCAAATCCAACCCTTCCCCAGTCTGACTAATGAATAAATAAATGAGATTAAAAATATTTGTTAGATAACGTCTGTGAAATGACTTGAAATGTGAAGAACTTGGTGTAAGTTCCAAAATTACTACATCTCTCTGCCCATTAGAGTCTCGTGTTCTCAGTAGAAAGTTACTGCATTAAAGATTTTGTGCATTTTGACAATGGTGGACTTCTTTATTTTAAACAAAGGGATATGAGGAAAAGAGGTGAAGTGTTAAAATAGTTTAAATAAATTGCCTGCACGTTCTCTTTCTTTCTCTCTCTCTCCTCTCCTCTCCTCCCCTCCCGTCCCCTCTCCTCCCCTCCCCTCCCCCTCACCCCTCCCCTCCTCTCCTCTCCTTGACACCCTTGAGGATGCCAAGTTTTTTGCTTTGGTTTTCAGAAATAGGAACAGTTAATGGATGGTGTAGACAATATTCTTTTTATCCTTGTTATAACTGATGAGATAGAGAACACATGAAAAATACAAGGAAGATGAGTTAAGGTTCCAGGTTCCTGGTTCTCCCTTCCTCTCCTAATCAGAGTCTGCACAGCATTATGGGACTCCGAACTGTCTCTTCCTCTATCATTTTCTTTTGACCAAGTAAGGACTGAAAAGGATGTTATCTGTTGCACTCGTGTCAAACACCAGTTGCAGATGCTATCAGTGTTATTTTCATACCTTCTCCCAATTGTTGACAGCCCTAAAGTCAGCATTCCTCTTTCCTAAAAGTCAGACCATACATAGTATTTTAAAATGTTTTTGAATCTTATTATTATATTGACCAAAGGCTTGCATTTTTTGGGGTCGTCTAGAATCACAAATTGATTTTGCTTTAATAATAAAAGAAATGAATCCAGTTGTTAAACACAGTATTCATTACTTAATAAAAATGAATTTTATATTTTCTTCTTCCAGAAATAAAAAATCCAACTTCAACCCCTCCTAGTCCTGGGAGGTGTCCACCTGAACAAGGTGAAAATACCAATGAGAGAATTAACTGCATTCCAGAACAACATCCAACACAGGTCTGCCAAAAATGCTCTGGATGATTTTAGAAATATAAACTGCATTATATGAAGATATCTACTCAATATAGAATAATTTCATATTATTAAAGATCTTCACATAACCTTTACTTATGCTCCCATTACTTTTCTGTATAAATTTGTGACCAAATTGATGTTAATGAACTTCCTTTCAATTCATTTGGATTTTTCAAATTAAGAGGTTACTATCCATCCATACTCAACAAGTTACCTAACAAGGTTATAAGCCTGTCCTGAAAATGTCATTGCTCTTCTCTCTTAATGTTCAGTAACTTCAGGAACACTTAGACGGTTTAAACTACACTATTTGTAGTTGAAGTTTTAAGAATTTCTAGAAAAGTATATATGACTCACTTATCTACATATATCTATATTTTATTATATGGAAATTAGTGGAACTTGTTGGATGCATGTAACCATACTTTGACTCAAACTTTTTAATTCATAAATGTTGTGAAAATAAAAGTCAATGAGTGTATGTGTTTTATGTTCATATTTGACAAGTCCTATAATATTTGTGTTTGAACCTCAATTCTACCCTTCCTATCACATGACATAATGAACTACTTGCCAGTCTTTTTATATATTACAAGTTACACAGAACATTATTATTTATCAGAAACTATAGAAATCAATGAAGTATTTATCAGTAAACTTATAGTAATAACTTCTTTTATCTATTGATCAAGCAGCTACATAAATCAGTGTTTACTGTTAACAATATACTGAGAAAAGTAGATATACTGATTACTGTTCTTTTCAAGAAATAATGAAAAAAAAAGAAATAATGGACGATTAATACTGAATCCTTTTAGAAAAACACATGATTCTAGGAAAGAGATATATGAACAGGCAGTGATTTGGCTTTGTCATCTTGAAGGCTTTTAGTTAATTTAATCTGTTAAGTTGATGAAAAATATTTTCTTTTTCAATATTCATGAGCATAGTAATAAACCAAACTCATGAAGTAAACAAATTGTAATTCAGCAAATATATTTACACTTGTCATTCAAGAATGCACAGTGAGCCCAACATTGTTCTGCATGCCTGTAAATCTTGCTACTAGAGAGGCTGAGGCAAGATGATTCTAAGTCTGAGGCTAGCCTTGTTAAATGATCCAAGAGGATATATAGATGTCTGCAATGCATTTTTGTGGTAGAGTGTGTACATAGCATTGCATAGTCTGGATTTTATTCAAAATATAGGAAAAATAGTCAAACTGGAAGAACACTGGAACAGAAAAGGAGTTTGTTGACATTCAGATTATAAAAAAAATAGTCAAGATGGTTTAAATGAGATTCTGTTATTAAATAAACTCTCACTCATTGAACTTTAGACTTAACTGGAAATTCAAAGAGTTTATCAAGGCAAAATGAATAGGTCCGAGGATTTATGCAAGTGGGTACAAAGTTCAATTTTAGCTGAAGTTGTATAATCTCAATAGGTTTTAGTCATTAATCGGTGTCTTAAAATGTTTTTAATTAGATAATATTCAAAGGTAATTTTTATTACAGAGAAATGATAAAATAAATGCTGAATGAATGAAAACTAAAATCTCCCAGATATTAAGAAAATGGCCTAAATATGTATTTTGAAGGGAATGTTTATTTAAATTATGTTACATGAAGTTTTATATGTATTTCATAATATTTTCTCAATAATACCTTATAAAATCTTTATGATACTTAAACCTTTAGCTTTCCATTATCTTCAGTGATAACCCAAAGCAATAACTTATTAACAATATATATAAAACTCTATGAAATTAGATTTTGAATAAATGTTATTTTCCCCAAACAAGGCATTTAAGATTAAGTTAGTCAAAATGATTACATTTTGTAAATTTTCATATACTTTTTTAATTATAAAAGTTCTCTTACATTTTATATAGCCAAAGATTCATCATGATTGACAAAATATTTAATTTTGAAATATGCTACTTATTGTATACAGAAGGCATGTATATGTAAAAGTTCAGTAATAACAAGGTAGGGAATAGTCAAACTGCTATTGTAGCAAATTGCTAAATTCTTACTCAAAGTGTTTTAGTCAGCACCGTCTACAATAACAAATATCAGACTTGGTAGCTTCTACACTTATTTCCTATAGCTGTGGAGGCTAGCTGTCCAAAAACAGCCAATTTTCATCAACTTTTAGTGAGGATATTGAATTTGTTAAGTATATGTGTTCATTTACATCATTCCCACTCCTCTCTTAGCTTTTTCCAACAACTTCCATTGCCCTACACCCTTCACGTTTATGGCCTCTTTTTCTTTAATTATTACTGTTACAAACACACACACACACACACACACACACATGTGTGTGTGTCTGTATCATTTCAGAGCTGATCACTTGGTATTGAATAACCAAATAGTTGTCTTATCCTTGACAAAGACTCATTGTCCATCTCTCAATAGTCATTGGTTGGCTGTAATGCTTCATCTAGAAGTGAGATCATGTGAGATTTCTCCATTTACACTGGTCTATCCATTGCTGGCCCTATTGCTCAGCTTTTAGGTGGGCAAACATACTGTTTAGATTTCATGGGTGTATCTTCCATGTCATATTTAGAAGTCACTGTGCCACAGTACAGCAGTCCTGTTCATCATAAGCCTTAGGTGTAGGATTGGGATGCAGATGTATCACGTGGAGCTAGGCACTACACCATTACTTGCTCTCTACATTTTGACATGCTGTAGCTTTCTTTGTGTGGTGCAAAAAGATACATCATTGAACAGGAGTGAGAGCTCTGTCTCTCTGTGGGTTTATCTAAAGAGAATTTTTCTACTGTTGTTATAGATGGTGCTTCTTGCTACCCTCACAGAAAAAGTTTTCAATATGTAGACCAGAAGGAAGAAGTTGTTTTTGCAATGACTTCAGTAGTCTTGAATATGTTGAATTAGGGACAATGCTATGACATTATTGTAGCCTCTATTCCTTCTTAAGATTCTTATAAGCAAATAAAGTAATATGGGAAGAAGAGAATAGGTCTTCATTCATCATTTCAGTTTGAAAAGAAAAAGTTACACCGTTGATTCAACTTCATATATTTATAAGTATATATTATAATTATAATATACATACATACTCATGCCACATAATAAAATAATTATTGAGGATTTTTCTTGCAATTTTATTTATGGGAGTTTACTGAAATTATGGCCATTAATGAATTGAGTGAGCCTTAATGTTCTGTCATTTAAGCAAAACAGAAAAAAATATGAAGTTAGAGAAGTAAATGAAAATATTGAAAACACTTAAAATTGTAAATAATAGGAAGAGCACCTAACAAACAAAAGAAACATTATATTCCAAAAGATAAATTAAAATTAATTTTGATTTCCTTTAAGAGTAATATTTTTAGATTAATCCTAATATATATGTATGTAGACAGTAACTGTACACCTCTCAAGTATTTATGTTAACTTGGAGCCTTGAAATAGGATCTTATTTGGTCAAAAGACTTTTGCAGATCTGTTTCAGCGAGTGTCTTTATATGGAGACACTATGTGGAATGACAGACAGAGTAAAATTAAATGACCAGTAGAATGAAGTAATGCCAAATCTTCCAAGGATCACTAGAAGTCATGGAAACTACTGAGAATTCTTCCATAGACCCACAGAAGAGGCATGGCTCTCTGGACAGCTTGAGTCGGGATGTCTCTGTGAGAATTCATTTCTGTTACTTTAAGACATCTTTTATTTCATAATTTTATGGCAGCCCCAGGAAAGTACTAATAGAGTATATTTTGAGAAATTACCATAATTCAAGCTTAGCTAGCTTTTCAGTTTGTCAAAATATGATTTCATTGCATTTTATTTTTGTTTTTTATACAAATCCATACACCTGTTTGGATTAGTACACCTATGTCTGGTTCTACATTTGTGTTTGAACTATGTTAAAACAAAACATCTTAGAAAGACTGCTCTAATGCCCATTATTTTATAGTAGGATTTTGTGTTGTTTGGGACCTTTTGATAGGTTACATAATTAAAGATAAAACTATCTAAATAAAGGCTGCACATGCCTGATACTATGAAAGATGTAAACTGATCCTTTATCACTACTGTTTGTAATGTATATATGTGTTTATTTCTGTATATAAAGCCATTTTAATGTGATGTGAAGACAGTTTAATATATACATTTAGTTGTTTAACATGTACAAGTTAAAAATTGTTTTCACAAAAAATAGTGATGAAAACATTGTACCAATATTCAAATTATAAATATGTGTCATAATTAAAACTTTTATTATATAGATATTTGTTACACTGTTGATGATACAGATCACTATGCTATTCAACATGTTAAGTATGCATTTTTGATTTCTTCTAATTTATGCAAATTTCATGTAGTTAGTAAAATTGCTGTGTAGTCAAATTTAGTAATATTTGTTAAAGTATGGTAATTTGTTTTGACTATTTAAAATAACTCAATTACTAAAGTGTTTAGCTAATAATTTTTAAAAACCTGTTATAAAGCTCTGGGCTGAGACTGTGGTTTAAGTGGTCAAGCAGTTATCTCGCATTGACAAACCCTTTTAATAAGCCCTAGTCATTGCTACAAAAGTTATATGTGATTGAATTAAATCAAGATTTTGAGTTATGAAACATCACCTGAATTTGATAATTAACGTAAGTATTCAAAATCTTCCTTGTTATCATGATGAAAGAAAAAATACCATAATTATTGAGAGGACAAAGGGTCTCAAAACATGTGTGTTTAGAGCATGAACAATAAGAAAACAGTTCTTGCACATCTGATTGCATTGCCAATTATGTTTTTTTATTATTATTAAAAATATTTTTACAGGCTAAATGTGAAGAGCGTGGCTGTTGCTGGCGTCCCGGAAACAACACTGTCGTTCCTTGGTGCTTCTTTGCAGATAACCATGGCTATAACATTGCAGAGGTCACGAATGAAAACACTGGTAAGGAGTGTCCCCACCACGATAGCCCAATACGTGTTCCAAGATGAAAGAGTCTATTTTAAGTTGTTCTTTGAAGATAGTATCTTCAATAGAATCCAATAAGAATATACATCAAAACTTTTAAACAATATATTGAGGATTTTTTTTCAGAGTTACCTCATGTAAAATAAAAAGAGAAACAATTTTGTAATAGTATAATAAAATTATTAATACGAAATGAATTATTAATAATTTGTCAATATATAAACTATTTTAAGTGTATGAGCTTTTCTTTTCCTTTGTCTAAGGACTTAGAGCCACACTGAACAGAATCCCTTCTCCCACTTTATTTGGAGAAGACATTCAAAGCGTCCTCCTCACAACTCAGAGTCAGACTCGTAATCGTTTCCGGTTCAAGGTTTGACTTTTATGATTTCTAAAAATTTAGTTGTATTTATTTTATGAATGTAAATTTTGTCTCTGTGTCTCTGGGGCAGGGAGAGTGCCACAGGAGAGCAGTAGCCATGGAGTTCAGAAGAGGGCGATAGATATCCTGGAACTGAAATTATAGATGGTTCTGACGAACCATGAATATGCTGAGAACTGAATCAAGGTCCTCTGCAGGAACAGAAAGAGATATTAATTTATTACAAGCCATCGTTCCAACCCTTGCCTTGTGATACTTCTAAGAAAATTTTTGTCTTAAGTGTAGTTGAAGAAAATATTCTTTCTCCTTCCCATGTATTCTCCACCCTGAAAAATATTTATCCCAAAAAGATAAGTAAAACACTAGTTACCCTTTTATGTGTCCTTCTCTCTTTGAAGACAATATCCATAATGGTTTCTTCTCCAGCCATTTTTCAAAAATTCATAAGTCATACTTTATTTAAAATACTTAGGCTATTGTCTTGAGAAGGATTGGGGCTGAATAAGTGTTTGTATTAAATTGTAGACTACATTGGATTATTATTTAAAATATTTTAAACATTTATTTATTTTATGTGTATGGATGTATTTATTGCTGGTATGAACATTGTTACATTTTGTGTATGTCTGTTGACCACTGAAGCCAAATGAGGTTATCAGAGCCTTGGAAATGGTGTTACAGATGTTTGTTAACTACCATGTGCATACTAGAAACTGAACCTGAGTCTTCTCTCTAAAAGGGTAATGATTGTTGCTAATCATCAAAACATCTTTTCAGGATATACATTTAAAAGTTGTTTTGAGATTAGTTAAAATAGTATTGTATAAATGCAGTGCAAAACTTCATACTCCAGGTTAAAGCAAGAGATTACTGGTTTATATGAAGGAGTTAGTCATATACATGAGTGTGTCTGTATGACTGCAGCGCATAACTTCATATTAGGTTAAAGCAAGAGGTTACTGGTTTATAGGAAAGAGTTAGTCACATATGTATGTGTGAACACACACACCCCTATAATTTGGAGAAGAATATAATAACTTTGCGACTTTCTAGAAACACATTCAAAATATTAAATGATTTAAATTATTATGTATTGAGTTTTGCACTGATAAGAATAGAACACATGGGAATGAGTATACTGAAAAATTAGTGTATTACCAGAATGTATTTTAAAAAGCCACTTCCAAATTCTTTATTCATTATTGCAAAGAACTAAAGTAAAAGTCATTGCCCAACAGCGGGATAATTGATAATTAAAATTTGATATTATATATGATATATGTGTTATGTCATATATATTTATATATAAATGTTATTTAGATCACATATTTAAAAGAATAACAGGTTAAGGAGGGACTGAACAGAGGAAATAAACAGGAGTTATGAAAGTGGATATATATAGCTAGTAATATTGCTGTCAAAGTAGATAAATACTTAGGAAATATTCTATATACTCCAAGGCTAAAACCCAATGTTAAGCTTTACGGATTCCTTTCTATTGGTGATTTATAGTTTAAAGTTTCATTGAGATGTATAGATTTCGAGTTTGGTTAATTTCAGTTTGACTTATTTCATCTCCAAGTTTTTTAATAAATTACTTTTAAAAATTAAAATAAATGATCACTTTCCTCTTGGGAATAACTAAAGAAGTAGATAAAAAAGTCCTTACAACATTTACCATAAAAGCCCAGTTTTCAATGATATTTAGTGACACTATCTCTTCTGTAAATAAATATATTTACTCAATAATATAGAAAACTGTCAACCAATTAAATATAATTATTTCTTAATAATTTGTATGGCTTATCTATGTTATTTATGCAATATATAATATTCTATTAATGTTATATAATATTATATATATAGATCATTTCATAGCTTGTATGTAGTAATTCAGAGATGAGTATATCATAACCACTTACTGTTTGTGTATTAAAATCTGAGCAGATCACAGATCCAAAAAACAATAGATACGAAGTGCCGCACCAGTTTGTAAAAGATGTAACTGGAATACCAGCAGCTGATGCACTGTATGATGTTCAGGTCTCAGAAAACCCATTCAGCATCAAAGTGATCAGGAAAAGCAACAACAGAATCTTGTAAGTGATCCTTGTCTCTTGCATTCATATCAGTAAAAATAGCCAATGGAGGATAAGGACATATTAACAACAGTGCCAGTTCATAAAGAATATACAAATTTCTCCCAAAAAAGTGAAAGTATAGATCTATGAACATTATGATCATAGAATAATTATTTTGATTCCCTTAAAAGAAAGAAACTAAAATACAAATTTGAAAACATCAGTTGATGTCAAGCAAATGCATGGCAGGAACAATTGATAAATGTTTGCATTGCCAATATTCACCCATATTGGAAATGGTTGCTATTTATGTACCCTTCATGATTTCACTTTGTCTGAAACAATTTTCAGAAGTAGATGGTTTCTGTGAGGTATGAATTTCCATGATAATGTCAAAATCGGTTTTTTCACACATAAAATTTTAAATACAAATTAAACATTTTCATTTAGAATGTATTGTCTGGGGTAGGGAGTAATTGTCTCAAAGAATTTAGTAATATTTAGTAATTTACTAGAAAATTCAACATTCATACAGGTAGGACTCTATAAATACACACATGTATACATATGTATGTGTATAATATAAATTAATAAAGCTATGAATTTTGAAACGGTTTATCAGGGATATATGGGAAGATTGGGGAACAAATGAGAAGGAAATTATGTAATATAATCTCAAAAATAAAAGAAAAAATGTTTTGGAAATAAAAGTAATATATTTTTAAAAAAGAAAACACTAAAGATATGGACTTGTTATCAGGTAATGTTAATTAAACAACTTGAAAATCAAATCTCATAAATTTACGTCCACTGAATATACATTTTTCTAGTTTGCTTACTTTTAAGCAGAATAGTCCAGCACAGAAAAAGAAATACTTCACTGAATTACTTACATGTAAAATCTCGACATGTTTAACCATAGAATAAGTAAAAGAGGATGTTTGTCTTGGCTCTGGTGGTGAAGGATAAGAGACTTTTCTTAATGAGTTACACATGAAAAATATTGTTTTCAAGAATTTTGCATGATACTTTTATTGTTTTTAGAAAGACTGATTTTTGAAATTAATTTTAGCGTGAATGGAAACCACTTTAGTGATGCATTATATAAACATAGCACCCTACAGAATGAGCCCAAGTTTAAACCCGAGTGCATAGAATACGATTGGTAATCTTTGAAAAAAAACTTTGTTTATCTATTTTTTTATTTATTATGTTGCTTCTGTGTAACAGAAGGACATTGGTAGTTATTTTCTGAGACTGAAAAGGCCTAGAGGGTAAGATGGCTGGCTATGAAAACCTTGATGAAAACAGGGATCTATTGATACCATACACAAGTTCTATCTGTGTGACAATTTGTACTTCTTCCAGTCATCACCTAAGAAGTCAAATATTCTGAATAATATCAACATTAAACTAAAACAGGGGAGTATATCATTTATATACATACCTTTCTTTTTTCTTCCTTTCTTCTTTTTTTTTTTTCCTCAGGTTTGATACCAGTATTGGTCCACTGGTGTACTCAAACCAGTATTTGCAGATTTCAACAAGACTTCCAAGTGAATATTTTTATGGCTTTGGAGAACATATTCATAAGAGATTTCGTCATATCTTAGACTGGAAAACATGGCCAATCTTTACTCGAGATGAAATTCCCGGTGATGTACGATATTATTTTCTCTTTATAGAGTAAATGATCATACTGACAGTTTTATTTTTGACATTATTATTTTTGTGACGATGCTGATTAAATTATTTACACAACAGAAATACTTACTGTAGAATTGTTTCTAATTTGGTTTAAAATTAAAATTGTCTAGAAAAGCCTCAAGTTGATCATAGCATTTTCAAATAAACTTTCTTTGGGTTGGTCTCCACCTTCTGAGAACCCTTTTATTTTCCTATTCTCCAACTTGCACCTCTGACACCCCATTTCCTCTCTGCTTTGTAGAGAGTGTAGGTTTAAAGCCAGGAATTAGATCTGAGGAGGAACATAAGGACATGTGGCATTTTTCTCTCTGAGTTTAGATTATCTAATTTATTATAATAGTCTCCAGTCCTGCTTATATTCCTGAAAAATATCACTTTTTTTGGGTATCGAGTCAGATCAATTTCCTGGCTTTTGTGAACAGAGTAACAGTAAGTCTGGATGTGAAGATATCTCTTCGGTAGGATATGCCCTTTGGGTATATGCCCAGAAGTGGTATACATCATGAATATGCTAGCTTCTTTTTCATCTTTTTTAAAGAAGTCTCATCATGACTTCCATGATGGGTATACCAGTTTACACTGCCAGGATTAATGAGAAAGGGTTTCTATTTCTACACATCCTCATCTGAGGTTTCAGCCGTTTTTTTCCATTTTTAGTTTTTTTAAAAAAATACTTATTTTTATGTATATGCTTTTTGCATGTACCTGTGGATGTATAACATGTGCATGCCTGGTAGCTACAGAGGTCAGAAGAGTTCATGGATCCCTCTAGAACTAGAGTTACTAATATGTTTGAGCTTTCATGTGTGGGATAGAGTTCAGGTCCTCTACAAGAAACCCAAGTACTCTAACCACTGAACCAACTATCCATCTCGCATTTATTTTCCTGGTGATAACCTGATTTGGCAGAAATGGAATCAAATGTTTAATTTAATTTGTATTTTCCAAATAAGCGAGGATATTTAATACAGTTTAAGATATATATCGATCTTTTGTGTTTCCTCTTGCCAGAGCCACCTATTTAACTCATTATCTCAGTCACTATCAGATTAACTCTCTGGTTGTCTTTCAATTCTTTCTTTATTATAGTTATTAACTACCCTATCTGAAATATAGCTGGAAAGTATTTTCTGAACTTCTTAAGACTATTGCTTTGTTGTTTGATATTTTTTGCAATGAAGATCACTTTAATTTGCACTTCTGTGCTATTAAGAATGATATTAATTCTCTGTGTCTAACTCTTGAAATATTTTTATGAAGTTTTTACTAATTTTAGCATTTCTAAATTTTAAAATTAAAGCTTTTGACCCATTTGACTCAATTTATGTGAATTTTATTTAGAAAAGACATATGAATCTAATTCATCTTAATGAGAACTGATAGAAAAATCTTAACTTCTCTGACTGGTTTTTGTGAGTAATTGAATACGTATTTGAAGATAGTGACTGTTTGGTTTTTACTTTATTTTTTGTATTTTACTATTCTTTTTTTTTTTTTGCAGTGTTGTGGTTAAAGCTTGGTGGAATAATTACAAATAACATGCTGTCCATAGGTTGAAGTGTCTGTTTTACTTCAGACTCAATCTCTTGCAACTTTGCCCACTTTTGAATGGTCCATAGCACATAATCACCTAAAGCATTCAGTTTTTGAAAGGGAGGTTTTTTCTTTTTGCTTTTTGTTGTTTCATTTTTGTAAATACTATAACTCCACAATACGTTATACAAATTTACATATTATGTATTACAAAATCTTAACTTTCACACTTCATAGAACTATCGTAATCACAGTGCCTTGCTTATTGTAGATTTGTTTCTTGTGTTAATGTGAAACTCATAAAATTAAAAGATAAACTACTAAAGTTATTTTTATTTATTACTTAGCTATCTTTATTACTTTTGAGCACCAATGCTAATACTATTATTTCTCCCAATGAGTAAGTGGATAGTTGGTTTGAAGGAGCTTTGTACAAAACGACAGATACATTCTACCACTCTTTGTTTTCTGTGTTGACAGCATTGTCATCTGAAATAAACACCAAGCTGAAAGCTTTTTCATTCTGTATTTCTATCTAGGCTTGTCTTAAGTTTCTGTCTAAAACCAATTAGATAGTCTTACCTATCCACTTGTCTAAGTTGTTTAGCATTTCCCTGGATTATCTCATGTTCCCATTTATTCTTGAAAAACATATTGTAGAATCTAGGATAGACAATGCTCTGGGTCCTATGGGAAAAAAGTGTGTGTGTGTATGTGTGTGTTTGTGTTAATATCAATATAGCTTGTCTAAATATATTTGATTCTAATAAAACAAAGAGAAGCAAGCATCATATTAACATATGTCAATGACTCTTTTGCGGATATAAAATTATTAACTAAAGTACAGTATATTATTTTTGTATCTTTTATGTGACATAAAATAAGAAGTAATAGTATAGAGCTAGAGAAAGTCAAATTACAAAAGCAAATGAGTTTGTAAAAATTATTTAGCAAATATCTTCATTTTGATTTAAAATATCTTTACTTTATATTCAGTTAAATATTTAAAATTTGTAACTTCACCTTCCAGAATAACCATAATCTCTATGGGCATCAGACATTCTTCATGGGCATTGAAGACAACTCTGGGAAGTCATATGGTGTTTTCCTTATGAACAGCAATGCAATGGGCAAGTACAATTTATTAATATTATGCTTGTGTGAAATTTGCATAAAAGTTGCAAAAAACTAGCATATAAATACTCTTCTTATTCCTATAATAGATTCTTGACTTCACAAAAAACACCTATTTTTTAAAGAATGGCATAATGTGAAATTATTATTGGAAAATGTTATAATTATGTTTTAGTCATAAGTGTTTTTATTTGGAAAAGTATACATAATGTAGTGACACACAATTAACCTTAAGGTGCAATAACTAATTGAGATAGAGTGTTAGCAAGATATTTGTTCTTATTAGGAGTTTGAACCTTATGCTTTGCTATAAGATTTTCAGAGGAGTCATGCCAATTTTAGAAAACGACATATTGACAATCGTTCATAAATCTTACAAGCTGCAGCCTTCTGTATTTTGACCAAGTTATTCTTATTGTCAATAGCTTACTTCTCCTTAATAATTGAATATTCTATGCACTGATATGGCTAACAAGATGTTCTATAAACACATGTCTCAATTGTTTTTATTATTGATAACATTTTACAAATTATGTGTATTTGTTTTCTACATTTATTTTGTAGAGATTTTCATTCAGCCAACTCCAATAATTACTTACAGAGTTACTGGTGGCATACTAGACTTTTATATATTTCTTGGAGACACACCAGAACAAGTAGTTCAACAATACCAAGAGGTTTGTTTCAGACTGAATTTGTAAATTATTTCCCACAATAATTTGCTTTAAGAAATTGTTAAATAATTTGTTATTCAAATAGAACTTCCTATCTACATGTATTTTACTTACCAAAATTTGATGACATGAGTTGATAATTTTTATTATCCTCTGTATAATTTACATATATTTAAATGTCTATTTTATTTCGATTAATTTTGTCCCTAGATCACTGAGCTCAGAATTCACTCACTTAAGATGTTATGTGTTAAACTTTTACTTAGTTATGATGATTTTTGATAGAATAAAGCAAAATGAAGTATATAATTTGAGAAAATAGAAATAATCAATGAAAATGTGGATCATCTACAAATTTAATCAAAATGGGGTATGACAAAAAGTGTTCCTTTTGTGTTATAATTTCCATTAATATACTTTGATTCTTATCTTTATTCTTGATGGTAGAGAAGTATATCTTTGCAAATATTATTTTCCTGAGTGTTTCTTTATCACAAAACACACAAAAATGTTGTACAGGACATAAACTTTCTAAGTGTGTTGGTAAATATTTATAAGAAAATTCTGGAAGATTTTGCAGCAGTAAATAAAATTTTATATGATTCTGTTCTTACAGTATCTAGTTAAATGAATGCAGAGGCCTAGTAGAATAAAAAGCACATCAATATTAGTTATTCTAAAAATATTTCTCTTTGTTGAAACTAACTAACTGTCCATTCACCTCAAGCTCATTGGACTGCCAGCAATGCCAGCGTATTGGAACCTTGGCTTTCAACTGAGTCGCTGGAATTACGGGTCTTTAGATCAAGTGAAAGAAGTAGTAAGAAGAAACCGGGAAGCTGGCATCCCATATGTAAGGAGAGTGGAAGGTGCTATGGATTGGGAGATTATAGGACAAACATGGTCATATATTAGGAAATGACTCAAAGTGTCATGAAACATGGACACATAATGTATCTTAGGTCAACAGTCTAGAATACTTATAAAACTGATTAAATGATAAATTTAGTCTGTATCCATGCCTGATGTTTGTAAGTTGGTTCAGTTTGTGTACTTTCTTCTTTTTTTGAGATTCTATTTACCTCATTTTTGCTTTCCTTTCATTGTTTTGATCCTCTAGACCCTCACATATATACTTCCTTGCTTTTTAAAAAATCAATGAACTCTTTTGTATTAATTGGTCAAAAATATTCTTTTGATGAACTTATCAGAACTTGTATTAATACAAATGGTTTGTTATTATTATATTTCCATTTAAATTTGGAGAAATCATACATGAGTGCTATGTTTAATAATTTGCACTCTCCATCTCTGTACCCCGACTTCTGTGTTCACACCACAACCTCTCAAATTCATAAATACTTATTTAATTACTATTAACATACATAAATATGTATGTGTGTATTTTTGCCTAGCACATTTGATACTTCCTGTATTTGCTTAGGGCTTACCATTTAGTATTAGATAACCTATTCTGGGGCACATCCCTGGAGTAAAACCCATAAGAGCCATACATTATCAGGAAAGTGCTTCTAGAACTGGGACTTTGTGAGATTTCTTCCTCTGTGATGATTCATCAACTGTTGTCATTGGACAGCTCACATTTAGGCAAACATATTGTGAAGATTTCGTGTTGCCACTTCCTGTCACATAGAGTGACATTATCTCACAACAAATGTCCTGGTCCTCTGGCTCTTACAATATTCCAGGCAATTCTTCTGCAACACTTCTTGTGTCTGTAGGGATTAAATTGTAGATGTATCAATCTGTCTTAAGGATACCATGGTCAGTTTTTCTATGAATTTATGTGTTTTCACCAGTTGTACATTGCTGTTAAGGTCTATTGGCTGCAAAAAACAAAAAGTGTCTTTGATTAGGAGTGAAAGCTGCGCTTATCTGCAGGTATAATGTGTAATGAATGCAATTGGAAATTAGACATGTTTGAAAAATATCAGTAGTAGGGAACAAATATGTATTTGTAAACAAAATAGCATTCTGTTTTTTAAATAATACAGATATCATGCACACACACACACACACACACACTCATAAGCATGACTTGAATACATGTTACCAATGAGACATGTCAATGAATTGCTCATTAAGAATTTTACACTTAAAAATGGGACAATCTAGTGCTAGTACAGTAGTTCTGTAGTAGAATGAACATTCCTTAGATTCTAGTTTTCATAACAAACACTAAAAAAAGAAACAAAATAAACAAATAATATGAATGAATGAAAGTAAACAGTTTGATAAGCAATTCTACATTTTTGTACTATAAACTCTAAGTAAGTTACCTCTTTTTCTTGAAGCAATGTCTGCTTCTGTAGCCCAGTCTGATTTGCATTCTGAAACCCTCCTACTTACCTCTAAATAGTAAGATTAAATTACATTAGCTTGCTTTCTGAGGTGTAGCTTGGGTTACTGTTAACTCAAACATTCTCTACATAAAACAAATGCCAGTGCTTAAAGATTGAGGTTACTAGAAAACTCTTTCTACTGACACTGAAACCAACTTTGCTAATTTTCAGGATGCACAAGTCACTGATATTGACTACATGGAAGACAAAAAGGACTTTACTTATGATGAAGTGGCATTTAAAGGACTTCCTGAATTTGCTCAGGATTTGCATAACCATGGACAAAAATATATTATCATTCTGGTAAAGATAATTTGTGTAATAAGATGTTTTAATTATTATGAATTTGTATATTAACATATTGCCTACAGAATATTATTTCTTTATTAGGACCCTGCAATCTCTATAAATAAGCGTGCCAATGGTGCAGAATATCAAACATATGTGAGAGGGAATGAGCAAAATGTTTGGGTGAGTGAGTCAGATGGAACCACACCACTTATTGGAGAGGTAAGTTCTCACATCCTTTAAATTCATGGGGCTCTGACTTTCTATTATGCAAATAGTGCTTGTGTAAATGTCACATAAGTGTGTATGTGTGTTTATGTGCTTTTCTCTTTGGACTTAATTTATAATTTTGCTAGGAAACTAGTCAGATGAAACACCGTATAACAGATCACTTGAATTCAATTATCAAAATGGAATCCAATAGTTTGATATACTGTTCAAATTCCTGTGAAAATTCTTCAATGTTTATATGAAGAAATTAACATAAATATTTGCAAATTGAGTAACTATAAACTACACACTTAGTTTTACGACTTACACTTAAAACTCAAAATAAGGTATAGTTACTGAAATTGTTGCAAAGAAGAAAATTGAAATATTCAAAATTGGATTAAAATTTTAAAACCATAGAGTCAATTATGTGCAGAAGTCTAAAGGTGTCTAGCTTTTGCATATTTATGTATTTACATAAGTCTGTCAGTCAATCGATACGTGTGTACATGTGAGTGCAGATGTATGTGCACCATTGCATGTATGTAGAGTCAGAGAACAGTTTGGGTGTTAGTTCTTGCCTTTCACCTTGTTTGACACAGGAGCTCATATTTCCTGGTGCGTTTGTCAGGCAAGCTATTCCAGGAGCTGCATAGGATGCTTCTGTCTCCTCCCATCCTTCTTTAGGAGTGCTAGGATTTCAGAATGGCTACTGTTCTGGGAATATGAATGCAAATCTTATTTGGCAAAGATTTAACTGATGGAGACACCTTCCCAGCCTTTGATATATATGTTTGTACAGAATAAATATTACTAGAAGCATAGCCATACCTCATAATACAAGCAAATGACTAGACACATAGTGTTGGTAATTCACTGCTGTGGTTAAAAAAAAAACTAAATAAAACTATGAGGAAGTAAAAAATGTAAATATGTATTTATTAAGCCATTATTTATAACTGATAAATATTGTATCTGCCCTTACTATAGTTTAGAAAATTAAACATTCAAAGGCACATTTTCTCCTGTGATAATAAGTTCCACCAGTCCCACACAAGTCCCTGATATTTCATAGACTATGTTTTTTGGACACTTGTTACTGTGATCCTGCCCAGATCAAAAGATAATAAATGATGTTTATCTGATTTTAAAACTTTATAAACTTATCATAATTGATTAGAAATGAATTCTACTTGTGAATACTGCTATTTGAGGGATACATAAAGAATCATATTCTGAAATATAATAAATAATAAAGAGACAATATAACATATCTTACATCTCATCTTTGATATAATAAGATCAGGTCTTTGATACCTTGAGTTTAAATTCTGGCTCACTAACTGTGGGGACTATGACATTGAGCATCCCATTTAACCTCTCTGTGTCATTTGTGTCACTTTGTAGAATGGATTTAATTAATCTACCTTATTTGTAAAATGAAAATAAAAGTATTTGTCTTCCAATGTTCTCGTAAATCATATGTTACCAATTATAAAAATGTTTAGAAGACTTAGACAATATTTAGCATGTATTGCCATAAAAATGAAACTCTCTGTTCTTGAAATTTTGAATGTAGATGTGTTTGTAAATGTACTAATATTTTTTTAATTGATGAAACTGAGATATATTACTTTGGATAATTAATCTAATCTACAAGAAAAAACATTTACTTTTATTTCATATGGCAACTTCATCCCACTCTTTTTCTTTTCTAAACACTCAATGATTTTTCTTCTTGTTTACTTTAGCTATTTTTTTATGTATTTAACATAGTGTTGAGAAATTTTGAATGTTTGATGCACATGAGTCACACGTAACTACTGAAGTACAATATTGGGGATTTAATAGTGTTAAATACTATTAACTACATGCATTTGAAATACTACTGAATTTAAATATTTTTATTCATTTGTACATGTGAATAATCTATTCATCTAGGTATGGCCAGGATTAACAGTGTACCCAGATTTTACTAATCCCAAAACCTGGGAGTGGTGGGCAAATGAATCCTATCTTTTCCATCAGCAAGTGGAATACGATGGGTTTTGGATTGTAAGTAATTATTGTAAACAAATCCTTTTATTTGGTGAACAGAAAACGTTATGTTCATAAACACACACCTGTACACACACACACACACACCCTAGAATATATTCTAAATGAAATTTAAATATTTTCTATCACTTACTAGATTTATAATTGTGTAGAATTAGATGTGTTTGCAACACTTAAAATTCTTCACTCCAGTCTCAAATACCTTTCATAGCATTTGTACCCTGTTTTTAGGTATGTGTGTGTATATATATGTATATGTATATGTATATGTATATGTATATGTATATGTATATGTATATGTATGTATATATGTATGTATATATGTATATATATATGCATATATATGTTAATTTTTAACTCTCCGTATCATTTTGTAAGTTTTATTTCACTATATTTTATTTATGCCTATATGATTATATGCTTATGTTCATGGACACACATACCTGTGCCTATATATCAGATAGATAGATCAATCCAGGAGTAAAACAATTTCAAGAATGACTTATTTTTAAATAGCATAGGAAACTTGTTGTTCACAATTTTAAACTCCTGTTTTGTATCCTTTTCTATTTAGGACATGAATGAAGTTTCCAGCTTTATTCAAGGTTCTCTGAAAGGATGTACTTCCAATCTACTGAATTACCCTCCTTTTACTCCTGGTAAATTTCATTTGCTTACCTAAACACCCAATGTTGAGACAAAAATTTCGTTAACTAATAAATTCTAAAGCATAATTCTTTTTTTAAATATTGACTTTGATTTTTCAATTCTTTTGTTTTTGAATTGACTATTTTTTTTTATAATTTATTTTTTCTCAAATCGTAATTCATTCACACAGGGGTTATAAACACAGAAAGGCAGGATGTGGGGAAGGGAATGACACTGGAATGTGGGTGATCAGGGGGAATACAGATATCATCAGAACCGGGTATCGCCTGGGTGAAGGTTCAGGGAACAAGTCACTATGACTCTGCCTATGACTCGCTTGTCCTTATCTAAGTTGGTATTGTCTACCAAGGCTACCTATTTACAAGGTCTATGACTACTCAGGCTTGTAAATTTCCACAAAAGCTGCCTGTTTACATTAGCTTATAGCCATCTGTTTCAATGTTTTTTCACTGAGACCCAAGACTTGGTGCTAGTATACATGTATGACAGGCCTATTGCTGATTTTAGGCCTATGGCTGATTTTAGGCCTTCAGTGGGTAAGCAGGGTTGCCCCTGACATCTCCTCCCTTCTCTAAGTATAGAAGGGCTGTGGCAATTCTAATCTTGCGAAGACGGGGATAGAGGCCTGACCTCCAGTATTTGAAGGGGACCTTGTTATGGCTCCAGTCCCCCTGTCGTTGTCTAGTGAGGCATGAGTGCCATACCCATCCCAATGTCTTTTTCCTGGAGAGGGGATACTTTTGACATCAACCCCTATGCAGTCAGGCTAAAGCATATTTCTAAATCGCAAATTTTGTTATAATTTTTAATCCTAAATTTAGTGTTTTTTTCTTCTTTGCCAAATATAATATCCATATGGTTGCACTAGTGTATCTTTTATTTACGTTTGTGTTCTATGCATGTATACATCTTTTCATGCTCATATGTGAGATTCTGAAGGTTTTCTCTCTTCATCTCTACAATATACTTTTTAATTTTTGTGTGTATTGTTTGTGCATGTATATAATTGCATGTATGTACATGAGCTAGTGTAAAACTAAATGTTAATTTTTTTCCTCTTCATATTATTTTGTAAATTTTATTTCTTTATGACTTGTCTATGTCTATATGATTATATGCTCATGTTCATGGACACATTTACCTGTGCCAAATCATGGAACCCAGAAGAAAGTTTTTGTTTTATCTTTCTATCACCCTCTGTTTATTCCACTAAGGTAGATTTTCTCCCTGAAACTGACACTCTTATCTTCTCAGCAAAACTTAAAAATTCTTGTCCAGATGCATAGAATTATAAAGCTGCACTGTCCATCCACCATGTTATATGGGTGGTGGGATCTAAATTCTGGAACTTGAGTTTTCACACCAAATATTACTAACTGTTGAGATAAGCAGCTTTACTTAAAACTCCTTGTTTTTAAGACAAGTTTTATTCCTTAAAGCTAGAGTGTGTTTGTTGACTAAAGGAGAGAGGGGGAGAAAAGACATAGAGACAGACAGATTGACAGAGAGTTCTGGGGATCCACCTGTCTATACCTCTGAGGGCTAGGATGACAGATGGTCACCACCATGTGAGACTTTCATGTAGTTGCTGGATGGAGATCTGAACTCAGGTCTTTATGCTTGTGTGCTGACCACTTTCCTTACTGAACCATCTCATCAGCTCTTAACCATCATCACATTTAAATCAACTAGTGTGCTAGAAATGATGAGAATTAGTATTTAGATGAATGCTGCACAATATCAATGTGTAAACTGCAATTAACTTATCAATGACTATTTCCCCATAAATTTGTGTATTATTAAAACAATGAAATATCATTTAATTAAATATAAAACATTATATGTATTGCAATTAATACGTGATGTGTTTATACTTATTGTAGCTAAAATCATTGTCCAGCCTCCACAGAAATGAAATGCAAGAACCTTATCAGATATTGATTAATTAAATGTGGTCTTTTGTGATTTTTTAATAGATGTTTAGAACACAGTATAAAAATAGAGACAAATACTATGATAAAATACCTCACAAGAATATTGTGATATATTTTCTCTAAGGTATTCTTGATAAAATCATGTATTCCAAAACTCTTTGCATGGATGCTGTGCAGCACTGGGGGAAACAATATGATGTACACAGCCTGTATGGATACAGCATGGCTATAGCCACAGAGGAGTAAGTACAACTTCATGCAGAAACTCAATAACTCACTGTTTTGTTTAGACACGTGCTTCTAGAAGCATAGCAATTTAATAGAATGTTGTAAGAGTCAGAAAGAAAAACATTTTCAATATAAAAATCCTGTAGTATTAAAGTATCCTTCTTTTTTATTAATATTGATGCTACCAATATTAATAAGTTATTGGGAATTACATGACATGTGTATTTAGCAAAGATTTGCTTATTTCATAGAGGATATTCTTTAAAAAAATTTTTTTTGCTTTCTATGGAAAAGAACGATATAATTGTTTTTATCAATCATGAAATTCTCAACTGGTTTAAAATGATGATACTGTAACTGCTTTTATCCTCCAAAAATAAGTGTTTCAAGTTAATTTCTAAATAGTAGAGCATAGTAGAATAAGGAACATGGCACAAAACAGAAGCAGGTATGTAGCACACATTGATTTTAAGTTTTTTTGCTTGTGTTCTGTAAATTTCTAGAGAGTAGTGACCAACTGATAACACACAGACCTTCTCAGTATTTTTCACATTCTCTTTAAGTGTATATTCAAGTGTTAATGATTTCGTGGTGCTAAATCACAAAATGCACAGAAACTATAGTATATTGCCTTGATAAAGTTGTTACTTCTAACTGTACAAACCTCTATGTAATAATAGTAACAATAATAGAAAAACAGGGTATAAACTTGAGAGTGAAGGACAATGGATGGTTTAGAGGGAGCATTCTTGGAACAAGCTGGATGCAGATAGGAAGGAGGGAAGGAAAATATTATAATTCTATTCTAATTAATAACATTTAAACATAAATAAATAAAGCATGAATGCAGTGTGAAACATTACATTTTTAGTTAGGTTAGTTTTCAGATAAAAGCTAGCACTAACTTATGGCTCAAAATAAAACAGCTTATGCTATGAAAATGGCATGTGAGGATGCCATATTTTTACAGAGGGAGCCTAGTTAACTTTGTAGTTTGAAGTATACCTGGGACTTTGTTTGTTTTTCTAATGAATTCCCTTTGATGGAAAATTAACATTAATGGACAGGTACTGATAGAGGATAGAAAAATAGTAGACTATTAGAAACTGTTAGAAAATGTACAAATGTTTCTCAACTAGGCTAATTGCCAGTACACACATTATGCTTTCAGTTTAGTAATTAATAGGTGAAATTATTCAAAATTTAATCTTTTTCAAAGACATTCTTCTTATATGTTTCAGCAGAATATATTCAAGTGAGCTGCATATTGGTAGCTAAAAGCAAAATAGATGTTAAAATTTCACAAAATTTTCAAAATATCATCTTGTGTCAGAGAAAGTATCAAAAAGACATTTGAAACTAGTTATTTTCTTTTAAATTAATGTATTCAAATTTATTTTTTAGGTAGTACTTACTTTTTAACTTGATCATATTTTTAGAGCTGTGAAAAAAGTTTTTCCTAGAAAGAGAAGCTTCATCCTTACCCGGTCAACATTTGCTGGCACAGGAAGGCATGCAGCTCATTGGCTCGGAGACAACACAGCCTCCTGGGAGCAGATGGAATGGTCCATCACTGGAATGCTGGAGTTTGGCATGTTCGGAATGCCTTTGGTAGGATGGTTTACTATTTGTCAAAAGAAAGGGGAAGAACAATGCTTAAAATTTTTAAGGTAGAGAAAATATAATAAATTTTAGATATGAAACATGAAAAGCCTGATAATAATTAAAAACAATTAGTATAAACAGAGTCAAAATTGTAGAAACTCATCACAAAATATTTGAAGTGAATTTAAGATTATTAATTATTCTGTCATATAGTTGAAAAAAGTGAACCTCAAAATCAAATGAAATAAAATAACATATTTATATTTATAAGAATATATTTATATATTTATTATTTATAAGAACTTTGTCTTAAAAAGTAAAACTAAATGAAATAAAATCAAATGAAATAAATATTGGCAAATTAAAATAAAAGACACAAAAAGTGCAAATTTTGTTTAGAGTATGAATCCAAAAGCAAAAAAGACTAGTAATTAATCTAAAATGTATGAATGTTACTTCAATGAAGCAAAGTGAAATAGAATAAAATACAGAAATTTACTATTTGAAAAGTTGCACAGACGCAGTAAGTTAAAGCATGTGGTAAAAACAGGATTTCAATTAAAAAGCTCTTTAAACAATCAATACTAATATTAACAATATTTATTTTGATATATCTTTATTAACTTTTTAATATATGTCACTATATTTTCCTCTTATTTATTCTCCCATTGTCTTATTCATCCTTCTTGATCCCAATCATGAATTATTTGAAAACATTATATCTGCTTATAATGTCTTTTGATCAAATCTCTCCATTCCCTTTCCTCCATTTCCTCTTCTATTACCCCCAACTTTTCCATCCCGACATCATATGCTAATTTTAAAACATACCGAGTCCCTTTAGAGCACCCAATATTTACGCTGGTATAAAGCAATTTATAGAAGCATGGAAAGCCTCTCAGAGGCAACATTCTGGAAGAAAACTAGCTCTTTCTCAAGAGCCATTACTTTCAATAGCTCCTCAGCTAGGGGAGGTGCTTCATTGGCCACTGTGCTGGGATTTTGGTTCCTAAAGCCAACCTAGCTTGTCACCTTCCTCATCTGAGCATGTCACATATATTCTAGTACCTACCTTCTCTGTTTGTTCTCTTTCATTTATAACTTTAAGATTTGCAGTTGAAATTTAAATACACTCCACAGGGTTTCGCCCTGACACATAAAGAAATGGGAAAGAACACATTGTATATGGACTGTGGGTTTTCAATTAGGCTTACTATTATAAAAGAGACACAGGCTCATGCATATATGCATACCTTCTAAGTGATCTACATCTTTGTAGATTTATCTGGAAACTATCTATTATTTAGATGGATGATTAATTAAACATTTAACAAAACAAAACAACACATTGCTATTTCTCAGATATTATGTAAAAAAACCAAAGTATCAGGTAGATAAAAAATTTCTGATTAAAGTTTAATTATTTTAGAAGAAAATTTAAGAGGATAGTCCATGACATGTTAGAGAAATAATGTCTCAAACAAAATCTAATGAGCAATGGCACATAAATTGAATTAAAATGAAATTAATCATTTAGCTAATTGAAAAATATCTTAATTATTAAAAGTAGAAAACAACCAATATCCTGGAAAATTATAGTTTCAGTTTATATAATCCTAAATGATTAATATTGAATTTAGAATGTCTAGTGTAAATCTATAGAGCAGAATAATAGAAAATTGTGTAAAATGTGTCTGATAAGCAATATTAAAAACCTCCATATATAAAAAAACCCCATATATATAAAAACTTCAAAAGATTTCAGCCTAAACAAAAAGAAATAGAGAAATCAAAGCTAAATATTGGTGAGAAACACTTCATGCAAACCATTGATAAAAAATAAGCCTGGTCATCAAAAAGAATTCTGAAATTCCCAATAGGAGTATTCTGGCTCATCAGATGAGGAAAGAAAGGCAATTGGTAGTAGAGAATAATAATAATGGGTAGATAGAAAGGAAGAGCACACATGGAGAGTAAATCATTTTATGGGACATGTATAAAGGTAAAAGCCAAGTAGACCATGAGCAATGCTGATTAACTTGTGCATAAAATGGGACGTGCTAGGTAACGTAGAAGGTCGACACGGAGTAAATGCAACCCTGTCCTTTAGGTAGGGGCGGACATCTGTGGGTTTTTGGCTGACACCACAGAAGAACTCTGCAGAAGATGGATGCAACTGGGAGCCTTTTATCCATTTTCCAGAAACCACAATGCTGAAGGCTATATGGTAAGTGACACACATTACTCCCAAGTTTGGTTTGAAACCAAGCAAACTGTATTTTCAAACAATGTTCTTCCATCTGTATACATAAGGTAGGATCTAAAGTATATAACATGTTTTATAAATAAATTTTTCAAATCATATTTTATGTATAAAATAGACACATGAGGAAATCACAAAACAAAATGTATCCATACCATATTCTTGGATTTTAACTAAGTTTCAGTTTAATTTATGACAAAATATAACTTTCTATGGAAGACTCTTACCAGTTTTTATAAAAGGAAGAAAAATAATTTAAGAAAATATGACTTGACTCCAAAGACATTTTGTTATGATCAATAAGAGTTCAACGAACATGCCAGTAAACTCAAAACTAACTTTTAAAGCATTAGTCTGAACTGGTAGGAACAGAAATGCTGGGAAATTCAGCTCTTCTTAACTCAATTTTGCATGCTGTGAGGTATAGACATGTTTTTAAGAGAGTATAGTAATATCCTTTTAAACCTGCAAGTCAGTTAAGAACATGATGATCAAGACAGTTTTCACTGTTTGTAAGTAACTCTCATACCAAACCTCAGTTCCATTGAGACATGTCAGCCACAGAGCTCAGGCTGTGAGGAACTTCAGAGAACACAGCCAAACGAGGTACAAAGGAGATTCTGAGGGATCCAATTTCATTGCAGACAAATATTCTGCACTCGTTTGAGTTTTCTAAAAAGTAAATGGTATGCTAAGATGAGTATTGTAATGCTTAGTTAGCAGAATGCATGTGGAGGATATCAGAGTGACTATAAGACAACAGAGTAGTGAGACTTATCAACACACTGTTCAAGTCTGGGCCTCCGGAAGCTGACAGAAGGGTGGTGTCCTGGCAGGGAGAGTCATCAGTCAGCTGGGTTCCAACAGACCCTGCCAGGTCATTGGGAAAGGTGTTGAGGTGAAAAGGACACCAAGAAGAGCCCTGAGTCTCCAGAAAATAGTCAGCCAAAGCAGCACCACTGTATATTCAGTGGCTGGGATTAGTAAATAGAAAGTATGATTTCAGTGTAAATTTAAGGAGGAGGCTGAATAAATTCTGTAACCCTCTAGCAAACTGTGTAAACAAGCTCGGCACTGGGAGGAAGATATAAGTAGATCTTCTGGTCTCAGGAGGAATGTTGAACTTTAAAGCTGAAGTTTGCTATCTGGCCAGGAAACTTTGTCCCTTGCTTTCATGGACCCTTAGATTGTTTCTGTTCCATCTGGGCTAATGGCTATGCATACAAGAGAATTATTGAGCACATTCAGGCTTGTGTTTGAATGGGTTACATCTAGGACATTCGTCAAATTATGCCATGTATCCGAGTACAAATTTAGGTGTAGGCATGCTGTTGTCACTGGAAGGGACCACAGACAGTTTAGCAAATGTTTTGAGAACATGAAAATTGGAGCCATTCTAAAGAAAACTAAGAGTTTAATTGAAAGCTTATCTGGGTATTTTTCATCTTTTTAACCTGTCCATTTAAGTGAGAAGTGTATCCTTTAAAATAGATTAATTAAAATATATCTAAAACATTCAGACATAAAGATGTTATTATAATAAGAAAAATTTTAAATTTTTTCATAGAAGATTTCAAATGAAAAACAATTTGCTTTAAACAGCGATTAATATGGTTTAATTTTAATGTTTATTTATATATTCTTTACTTATATTTCTTTTGCTATTGTATAGGAACAGGATCCTGCCTCTTTTGGACAAAATTCACTTTTGGTAAACACAGCAAGGCACTACTTAACCATCCGCTATACTTTACTTCCCTTCCTGTACACTCTGTTCTATAGAGCCCACACATTTGGTGAGACAGTCGCAAGGCCATTTCTTCATGAGTGAGTATTGAGAACTATGAGTAAGAATTAAAATGTGAAGGTTTGGAAAGCTGTCTCAAAGGGTTACAGATCTCTCTCTGCAAACAACAGGACTTGAGTTCTAATTCCAAGAACCCATACAAAAAGCCAGATATGACTACTTTGGAATGTAACTGCAATATTAAGGGAATCAGAGAGAAGTGGGTCCCAAGAACTAGCTCATCTGCCAGTCTAGCTTAGTCTAAATGGTAAGCTATTAGTTGAGTGAGATACCTTGATCAAGGAAATGAAGCAAGGAGAAAACAATGGAAAACAACTTTTTCTGGTCTCTACATGTGATAATGGATATGTCAACTTGTTCACTTTTGTGCAATGCATACACCAAGCAATACATTATACACGTGTATGCACACATGCACACACACACACACACACACACAACAGATACACATAGTATCCCAAAATATATTATATACACATATGTACATATCACACACATATATAGTCACAAACATACATATTATACTACACTCACAGAAATAGTGATAAAAAGTATTTTCAGACATATAATAAAACACTAATAGTAATGAAACTAGATCCAAAGCGAATCTAAAATTATCATTTTTCTAGTTGAATAATGTTTTAGGATATGTGTATTGGTTGTACTAAATAAGATTAATTCTCTGGTAGAAAAGATTAAGCTATGAGTGGGGATTTATCAGAAAGTACAGATAAACTATGCTAGGAAGGTTATATTATTAAGAAAGATTGAAAATGTAATAATCACATATTGTTACAACCTGCCCATAGTGTGGTATAGTTATAATATTGTACATTATCTACTTATATTTTTGTTATGAACCAACAGGGTGTTTCTTAGGAAATGACCTAATGTTTCTTTTAAATACATATTAGATTTTTTTTTTTTGGCAGTGCAGTAAGTTGCCTTTATTTTACCATTTGTTACATATTAGATTTTTAGTAAAAAATATTGAAAGTGGTTAATGAAATAACTCTGGCAATTTATTAACTTACCTTGTAAGAAAATAATAAACAGCAAGTTGCTTATTATATATTAAAAGTAGCCATATATCTATAGTATACATTTGATTTTACTTTTTAAAGTATGGAAATAACTCATGCCAGGCATTCCGTGCTCTCTTTTAGTAGCCTCCTTCCCCTATGTCTGTCTGTCTTCATGGAAGCCATATGAACTACGTTAGAACTATTGCTTCAGGGTGACATGTTAAAAATAAACTTAAAACAAGTAGTTTCTCTTTTTTTACTGGATATTTTATTTACATTTCAGATGTTATCCCCTTACCACATCCCCCCACCTCATGCCCAGGAACTCCCTACCTACTATCCTGTGAAATCACAGCCAAGGGAATGGGCTTGGAGGAATCAGCGGGGAACAAATACTTTCAGGAAAGAACTGATGAGATAAAGAAAATAAGCATGTTGCCTCCACATATTTTGTAATGTTATATATTAAATACTCTAATTGTTTTAAAGGTTTTATGAAGACCCAAACAGCTGGATTGAGGACACCCAGTTTCTATGGGGCCCTGCACTACTTATCACTCCTGTTTTGAGACCGGTAGGCTTTACCCATGTATTATATTTATTGCTTAAAGACAATTTTGCATAGCCAAATTTGAACATAGTTTTGAGAAACCCAGATAACACTTATTACTCAACGAATTATCTCAGGTTCACAATCTCTCAAAATGCCAAAGAATTTTGATACTTACAAAGTTCTTTGATCCATCTAGATTATTAAATATATAAGAAGGAACATAGAAAGGAGAACATGTGAATGATCAATTTTATTCTGAAAAAATTATTTTTATTGCATTCAATCAAAGATTATAATAATATTAATTAGCTCACACTTAGGAAGACACAAACATTACACATTTGCTAATATAGTAGTAAAATAGGCATGTAAAACAGCCAATTTTAAGAATATGAAAAATGAAAAAGAGAAGTGATACGTGTCTCTTGTTTCTAAACTCTAGTGTCCATGTCTCTGTACAGAAATGAATATTTTGCTTCACAAAAGCAGGTGCTTTATAGCAATGCAAGTGCATATATGAATTAAAATTGCCACCTCAATTGTAGTCTCTTTCCCACTTGAATATTGATTTTTAAATTTTAATGTAAAGCTTATAATGTAACTCAGAGCTACTGGAGTAAAATAACAGAGAAGTACTTTTTTTTCTCCTGAGAAATGGAAAATCTAAATCAATTCTTGACAAACTTTTTTCTTAAGGGTGGGGGAACATTCTAATAGAAGGAAGGGTTGGGGGAGGAGATAGGGGTTTGTGGAGGGGAAACTGGGAAGGACATTTGAAATGTAAATAAAATAAGCAATAAAAATGGCAAAAAAACAAAAATAAAAAGCAAATAAAAAATTAGAATTTCAAAAATGTGTTTAATATCACATATATTTTGCATATTTACACTGATTTTCTTTAATTCAGGGAGTAGAATATGTGAGTGCATACATTCCTGATGCTACCTGGTATGATTATGAAACAGTAAGTAAGATATATGAATATTTATATCTATACATATATGTTTCTGTAAACATAGTGCATGAATGCTGAGAATTTTTGAAATTATTGTAAGAAACCTTGCACAGTTGGAGAGCTGTCTAAAAATGCTACACAAATTATTCCTTAATGCACATGAGTCAAATATTTAATATGAAGTCATATTTTTAGTATACGTACAAATGTATTTTTGTATTTAAATGGAATTAATGGAGTACTTTAGAAAGAATTGGAAACATTTAATTCTTTGCTCAGAATTTACATTTTTCTTTTTTAGTCAGAATGTTATACATGCTTTTAAATTAAAACAAAATCATTTTGAATGTTTGTTATGGCCTCCTAGTATAGCCAAAATAATGGCATTCACAAATTCATAGACACAAGTATTTGATTGATTTATTTATTTTGAAAATGGAATTAGTAATACCACTTCAGATTCAGATTATCTTTAAAGTAGCTATAATTTTTCTTTTCTTTTCTTTCTTTTTGTGGTTATTGTTTATTTATTATAAACTATAGATTTTATTCCACTCTCAGTCTACCCTCCTACCGTTCCATACCTCATACCTCCTCCCCGCCGCCCTGTCTCCACTAGGATATCTCCATCCCCCACCCCACAAGACCTCTAAACTCGCAGGGGCCGCCTGTCTATTGAGGGTTAACTGCATCATCTCTGACTGAACAGAAACCCAGCAGTACTTTGCTGTATATGTTTTGGGGACCTCATATCAGCTGATATATGCTTTCTGGTTGGTGATCCAGTGTTTGAGAGATCGCCGGGGTCCAGGCTAATAGAGACTGCTGATCCTCCTACAGGGTCACCCTCCTCCTCAACTTCTTCCAGCTTTTTAAAAATTCATCAACAGGGATCAGCAGTATCTGTCCATTGGTTGGGTACAAATATCTGCATCTGACTCAGATGCTCGTTGGGTCTTTCAGAAGGCAGTTATGATAGGTTCATTTATTAAACTTACTATATTTTACATTTGCTTGTTTGGTTGTGTAAGATTTTTGTTTGAAGGAATATTTGAATGCTTTCTTAAGTCAAGTAAACTTTATTTTGTGTGCATGATTTTCCTGTTATTTACTTCTTTATTATTTTACTTATGCATAATTATGAAGTAAAATGGTAACTTTATGTAAGTCTGCAATGTGTACTGAACAAATAAGTCGATACTTGTATTTCAAGCACTTTATATAATGTTTTGATTGACACATCAAGACTGTGCATATATGAGTTCAGTGTAATGTTTCATTGTATGTTTCTATTTTATAATGGTCAAATCAATGTAATTACAATTCTTATTCCCTTATCATTACTTGTTTTTTATTTCCTTTGAGCTTTCCTTATTAATAATGATTCTTGCTATAAAGTAGGAAAATTGTTAATTCTGATCCTGCATTTCGAACAATAGTTATTCTTCTCTAAAATAGAAAGATTAGTACAATTCATTACTTCTTCCATCAAGTTGTGTTTTTATATCTCCTACAGAACCACTACTTATTTTAATTTCTGTAAAAGAAGAAAAAAATTTCTCCAAAATTAATTGATAGACTTGCCTTATGATTCAATTATGTTAAACTGGAATGTTGACATGACATGGGCAGGAATATTTCAAAATTATATATTCTTATATTTACAGCTGTACTACCCTTATAGTATTATATCAAAGCAAGATGAATATATACCAGTGCAGGAATATATAAAAAATGTGATTTACATACAATGCATTATTATTTATATATAAAAATAGTGAAATCCTGTCTTCTGCAGTACAATGGGTACAAGTAGAGGACATTCTATTGAATAAAGAGCCACACTGAAGCTGAATACAACATCTTCTTTCTAAAATGTAGATATTATTATGAATACTGTAACAAGACTATTAGAAGCATTATAAAAGAGAGTATAAAATATGGGTATAATTGCTAATTATTGTAGGAAGAAAATACTTATATATATTTTATTTTACATTTTAAAGGAAAATGAACTTATTTTCATATGCATAGAAAACAATGAAAACTATTTTCTTCCAATAAACATAAATTAACAAATAATAAGTAAATAAAATGTATAAATCACAATCATGATAAAGCAAACTTAAAATATATATTAACAATAAAAATAATATTTATTCTTTAACTATTAGGGTGAAAAAAGGCCATGGAGGAAACAAAGAATTGACATGTACCTTCCAAAAGACAAAATAGGATTACATCTTAGAGGAGGTTATATCATACCTATCCAGCAACCTGATGTAACAACAACAGCAAGGTAAAATGAAGGGTTATTGCCTACTCACATATGTTCATAATAACTCAAGCAGGACTGGAACCAGGAAGGAAGAGCTGATGCAAGAGAGTGTGGATGGGGTGCTGCTTCCTTGCTTGCTCCTCATGGCTCAGCCTTGTTTCTTATAGAAACCAGGTACTTATAGAATCAGCCCAGTTATGACAAGACCCACAACAGACTGAACCAAACTCCCTTCAATCCCTAATTAAGAAAATGCTCTACAGGATTATCTACAGCCAGATCTTATGGAGGCACTTTCTCAAAAGACCTAACTTCTCCTCTCGACCATAACTTCTGCTGAGTTGACTAAACTTAGCTAGGTCATTTGTATTTTCCTATCAGTTGGAGATCTAATATCTTTAATTTAAGGTTATAGTGGTTAAAACACTGTGTGAAAATTCTTATTTAGTAAGTTAGTTAGCTTTATATCTCATTTGTATGTATCCACGCCCACTTGTCTGTATGTGCACAATACGTATGCAGTGCCCACAGAAAGCAGAAGAAGTTGTAGTATTCCTGGTAATGAAGTTACAGACTGTTTTGATTCATGAGATGTCAGTACTGGTAACCAAATATGGATCCTCACAAACAGTGTGAGCATTTTTAACACTAATCAATCTATACAGCACCCTGAGCTGCACATTCTTCAGACACATTTAACTCTTTAGTTTTAATGAGAATGTTATATAGTTTAAATTTTGCAGATGGCGTATCCTTCAACAACTAAATAATATCACAAATTTATAATATGTTTTAAAGTGTATAAAATTTGTCTTTACTTATGTAAGTGTATTTATATTGAAAACTATGAATACAAAAATTATGCTAATACACAACTAAAAACTTAGATTGAAATGCATTTACTGTAAGTTATAAATTGATTCCAAAATTATTTTTAATTCTATACAAATCACATTTTTCTTTGTAGCCGAAGGAATCCCCTAGGCCTTATTGTTGCATTAGATGAAAATCAGGAAGCAAAAGGAGAATTCTTCTGGGATGATGGTGAAACTACAGGCAAGTTTCAATGTAGTGTATGGTTAATTATCCATTACGATAGCTGTATTTTAGCTTTGCTCAGATAAGTTACATTCATAATGATTTTTGTAGTACTTTATAAATTTTGAGTTGTATATGTGATTAACATATCAACTTTGCGAATGGTGTGTTGTGAAATATCTTCGACGAATGCACATGATTTTATGTTAAATTCATATTTTAATTTTATATAATTTTGTTAAATTTTCAAATGTACAGATTATATCATGTTTTCAAATGTTTTGGATAATTAATTGTAATCTTTAAACATAAACTTTTATTAATGAAAGAAAAAAAAACAAATCAATGCTCTTAGCTGTAGTTAAAGTCTCTGTCAGTGTCAAGTGACTTGAGCAAAAGAAATTCCTTTTCAGATGGAGAGATGGCTCAGAGGTTGACAGCACTGACTGCTCCTCTTCCAAAGGTCTTGAGCTCTAGTCCCAGCACCCACATGATGGCTAATAACCATCTATAATGAGAGCTGGAGCTCTCTTCTGGTACCCAGGCAGAACACTGTGTACATAATAAATAAATAAATCTATTTTAAAAAGAAAACAAATTCTTTTGCCATTATTAAGAACCCTTTAGTTTATACTTTGAGAATTTAGGACAACCAGAAACAATCTAAATAATTAATGAAATAACCATGAGCATTTTATTATGCTATGTAAATAATATTAATTTTATGCTTTTAGATTTAATTATCTCATTTTTTGCTTAACATATTTAATTCATTTATTTTAATATGGTATACTTAGGTAATAATAACTTTATATGTGTCTACAAATGTTTTCATATAGTTTCCGTTTGAACTCATTACTTTTGAAATTTCTATAAATTTTATTATGTTCAGTCTTCTACAAAATTGGGTCCTAACCTTCAGTTACCTTATAAAGATAGCTTAGGAATGTTTTAGTACACATATGATACATATATCATTGTTTTGTTGCATTTCTTTCATTAAGTATTAGTTTTACTACACGTTAAATTTAGTTTTAGAATACCTCTATATTCTTTCCCTTTTCCAAAATGTTTAAAACTGATGAATAAAGAGATATGAAATAAGACTGTACTATCTCATTTCTCCGTAGAAAGAATGCATAATTTCATAGGTAAAACCTATGCATCAATATTGCATGAAGTATTAAATTATAATAACATGTCATTTTTTGTGAGTGCTTTATTAGTGGTGAAAGTGTGCCATATATCCCAGACTGGTTGAAATTCTGACTTTCCTGTCCCTACCTCTACAAAACTATGATTACATATTTGGGCAAATATACTTGACTAGAATAAGTTATGTTTTCTTCTGAATCGCTAGACAGTTTTTCTATTCATAAAAAACTTAAACCAGAAAATATATTTAACATCTCTGTTAACAAGGAAATAAAACTTCAAAATTTATCTTACTTATTATTTGAAAACTTTATAGCTGTATTATTTTTGTTATTAAGATAACTATGATTATATATAATTATATTGTGTCTTTTTCCTTCCTCCTATGTAGCCCTTCTTATTCTCCTTCTAAGTCATGACCTGGTTGTCCATTGATTTTTAGTAATACATACATTCACAAATTTATGTGTGTGTAGATCTTTTGCTCATTATGTGTAATCGTACTGGTACATATATGCTTTTGGAGCGGACCATTGGATACAGGATACCAATTACTGAAGAGAGCTTTCTCCCTCAGACATCATTCTTTAGCTGACTGTGGTTGTTCGAGTCGGGTTGAAATTCAGGAACATTTCCCCCTATACATTAAACATTATACAGTACATTTTAATTGTATCTTGTAATAGTTGCTTTTATTTCCTCAGAGAAGGAATGAGATGAACGTTGTATCCAAGCTAAGCGAACACACAGCCTGAGCATTTCTTTCTCTGTACTTACTATCCCTAGTTCCATGCCTGGAGACTTCTAAGCTCCATACCTCCTAATCTTCCAAGCTGATTGATGAACTCCGGCTTCTTTGGGCTTCAGACTCAGTTGTTCTGCTTGGCCTCATACTAATCTTGGCAATATGTGTTAGTCTTCGGTCTCCTCATTTTCTGGCTCATTCTGTCATCACCTGCATCTATCTTGTTATTTCTGCAACCTGTCTCTCTAAAACTGTCCTAACCAAAATGACACAGACACCAATCACATGCTGCTCTTAAGTAGCCTCTGTTGTCTGTGATGTTTTTATGTGAATTGAGTGTATCCTATTTCTGACTTGTTCTGTTAAATCTTGTTCTGATTACTAACTTTGTCTGCCTTTCAATTACATATCACTTTCAAACATGGCCACTTCCTTCTAAAACCTAAATTTATGTTCATTTCTAGGGTTTAAAGGTATATACTAAGTGAATGTCTGTATTCCAGCCAGATCATAATGTAATCCAGAGAGTATCTGCATTCTGACTGGATCGCATAGACCTAGAAGGACTTTGAATGGGATTGCTTGCTAGAGCAACCATGTTGTTGGATTGAAATTCACCTACACCATCTTGCACACACTGCCTCACTCCAAATCCCCTTGGAACAGCCCTAGCAATTTCTACCTAAAATTTCTTCTCTTTTTTCTTAATACTTATTAGATATATAAAAGTATAAATTGTTTATAGTTATTCATTATTATAATTTTAAAAGAACTAAGTATTATATAAGTATAAAATAAGAAAAGTTAACTAATTTTTATCTGATAACTGTTTATTTTTCAATTTCAGAGACCATAGAAAGTGGAACCTATATTTTATACACGTTTTCAGTTTCTAATGTAAGCATTTTCTGGAAAACACATGTCATTTTAAATATCTACTTTATTAGGTATTATAGGCTACTTCTTAGAGCTACTTAAATTTCCCTCTCATTTTCAGTAAAATTAAGAGGAATAATTTTTTGAATTAACTGTTGAATTTAAATTATTTCATTATGAGCAAACACATTTTATTAACTCAATTAGATTGAACTTATGATGAAACTTGTGCATCATAGTCTTCCTATGCCTTAAAGTTTACTTTAACAATATCCCTAGGAAAATAATTTCTACATATTCAAAATGCTTAATTTTTTAAAAGATTAAATAAGAATTTTTCAAAAAATCTAGAATTCTTTATTGTTTTTAACAATCCTGTTATCACTGACCAATATAAGGACTACAGTAACTGATCTTACGTATGACTGACCTCATGTGATTTCATCATTAATTCTAAAAATAAAGTTTTATGTTTGTATATACAAACAAAGGTAGTTGTTTGCTCTGTGTCAGCTAGTGGGCAGGGGAGCTGGATGACTCATTCATTGACTTCTCCTTTATTCCTCTCATCAATCTGGTGACTACCAAGACTTAACAGCTGACACTTCATCCTGTTTCTTCTCAGGATAACTTGGTTGTTAGCTGCACACATTCATCATATCCGGAGGGAACTGCCCTTGCATTTCAAACAATCAAAGTGCTTGGGCTGAGAGACACTGTCACTGAGGTTACAGTGGGTGAAAATGATCAGCAAATGGCTCCTCATTCTAATTTCACTTTTGATGCTTCCAATAAGGTAAACTGATGAAATTAAACTGTCTTCCATGCTTCTTTATGTTCTCTAACACTCATTTTGGAGCTCTAAGTATACTTTTTTTTTTAATATTCTTCAAAAAAAATTAAATCAAAGTGATAGATACTCCTGAAAATTCTGTTTGCTAGATTTTAACATAGTTTTAAATCAAGTTTAAAACATTATCAATTTAAACAATCAATCATTATTTTTTTATAGATTCTCTCAATTACAGATCTCAACTTCAACCTCGGCAGAAGCTTTATAGTTAGATGGACACAAGCTTTTTCAGACAATGAGAGATTCAATTGTTACCCAGATATAGGCACTGCAACTGAGGAAACATGTGTACAGAGAGGCTGCTTATGGAAACCGGTAATCTAGTTTTTCTTGTGAATAAATATGTGATTTTTCATATAAGCACATCAGTGAAAAATTTACACCCAAATTTTAAGTTCAACAACCTAGAAATCATATCCATTCATAAATTATTTGACATTTGAAATTTGAATATTTAATAGACAGTCAAACTTTATTTGTGTAGCCAATGACAGACAAGGTGACCAGGTACATCACTTTTCATGTAGAATGGATGATAATATTTTTCTCTTAAAAATAGCATATTGTTTTACTTATACTTTACAATTATTATAGGTGATTGACTAAATTGGCAAGTGATATGTGAGTAGTATCAAGTATTTCCAAAAAAATTTTCAAACTATAAAACTTGGATATGTATGCTTTATTTATGTTGGACAGCAGCGAAGAATGCTGATTTTGTGACAGGTTGAACCGTGGAGAGTCATTATGGTTGCAACATTAGTACCCACTAAGTTTGTTGTGAATTTAGGAAGAATGAGTGATCAGCATGGTGTTTATTTACCCAAGTCCTGTGCATTTGCATTGCAGAGGCAGAATGGGAATTACTTTTAACAGGAATGTGAGTTATATATTAAGAACAATAATGCTAATAAGGGTTCATTCATTAACGTCAAGTGCAAAGGAGGAACTTTAGTGATGGAGAAAGATGTAAGCTTGATGAGGGAGGAGGAGTCAAAGACAAAAAGAGAGTAACAAGATAGCGTTCAATGGAGTAGTTAATCACATTGCTGACTCTGATAAAAAAGCAACCATAAAATATATCTTCAGGGGCAATACAGAAGGAGTTCACCTACATTATTAGGAAATATAAATGTTTCCTAGAATTTGAGATGCATTGGTGATTCTTCTAATTCTTCCAGGTAGTTAACAGTAACTTCATATTTATACTTAAGCTGACATCAGTTGTCTTGAACCCTAAATGCCCTACATAATCTAAAGTCATTTGAAAACATCCTATGTAAAATACTCATATCTACTACTCTTAAAGTCACAGTAACTTATTTACTTTTATAATATACAGATTTATTGAAACATAGGCAGCTTTATGCTAAAACAAACCTGTTAAATAGCACATTTTATATTTAGGCAGTTAGAAATTTCTTGGGAAACATGATTCATTTATTTTTTCTCTTGAAGAGTTAATGAGGTTTTTAAACTGTTTTCCTGAATTATTATTTTTTTATTTTTTAAATTTTTATATGAATGGGTAATTTTGCTTGTATGTATATCTGAGAACCACATGTATCCAGTACTTGTGAATGCCAAAATGAGTGTTGGGTGCCAAGGAACTGGAATTTCTAAAGGCAGTGAGCTGCTATGTTGGTACTGGGAATCAAATCCAAGTGTTCCAGAAGAGAAGCTAGTAGTCTTAACTGGTTAGCCAGCTCTCCATGCCTGCCTAAACTACTAGTACTAGAATAGAATTACCCAAGAAAAAAAAAGTCAATTCTGATGGGAACTTTAACAAAAGAGATGAAGTGAAATTCAAATAAAATAGCTCTGATAGAGTCATAAAGTATAAGTGTCTAGAAATGGCCGTTAAGGCCTATAATCAAAAACAACTCATTTAATTTTTGTTATTCTGCACTGATAACTAATATTTGATCTTTTGTCTCTACTGTTCTAAGATTAGATTCAGTATCTCAACATATGATAAAAATAATTTAGAACATATCTCAAACAGATAATAAATTTTTTTATTATGTGTCACAAAAATTGTTACTAAGCTTGGTTAAGGTTTCTCTGTTTGATTTAAGTTCATGGATAGGATGCTTGATGTTGAACATGTGTTGCTTTTAGGTTAGTGGGTTCTCCAATGTGCCTGCATGCTACTTTCCTCTGGACCACAATCCCTATTTGTTAAATTCAACTCAAATTTCGGCAACGGGCATAACAGCAGAACTCCAGTTGAATCCTGCAAATGCTAGAATTAATCTTCCATCTAATCCCATCTCCACTCTCCGTGTGGAAGTAAAATATCACAAAAATGACATGCTACAGTTTAAGGTAAGTTAAGTATAAACTTTCTAAGGAAAAAGAGTTAATTTAATTTTTGTTTGTATTTTTGTTTGTTTGCTTTTTGGTTTTTGTTTTATCATTGCCTTTTTTTCATATGGTATGCTAGATACAAAGTAGCTATTCAGAAATGGACAATTATAAATGCTCCTTTGGGAAAGATTATGTAAAACCTGTGCTCTATTAGCAGTAAGTATAAACACTTATATATTGTCACTGTTCCTTTGCAACAGATTTATGATGCACATCATAAGAGATATGAAGTTCCTGTACCACTAAATATCCCAGACACCCCTACAAGCTCTTATGAAAATAGACTCTATGATGTAGAAATCAAGGAAAATCCTTTTGGCATCCAGGTTCGAAGGAGAAGCAGTGGAAAGCTTATGTAAGTGATTAGATAATTTCATAGGAAAGTGAAAGTGTTTAGTTTAAAAGAGCAATATGCTAACAGTTAGTTGTATAAAATGGTTTCCCAAATTTAACATTTTTAAACAGCATATTCATAGGATCATACAAAGAACTCATCCAAAACGTTAGTTTACTCCATAGATATGATTACTTTTTGTAGGGGCAGTTTTTGATGTTAAGATTCTATTCACCAATTGGCTCTAGATTTGCCAGTAATGAAATCTATGGGCTAATTACTGTGCAGAAGGCACAGGCAGGACTTCTGGGTCCCTGGAGGTAGGCAGGGAGATACAGGAAGGAAAGGAAGGAAGGAAAACAGAGTTCATCATGCTTTGGAGAGAAAAGAACTAAGAGCCATGTGAGATCTCAAATGGAGTAGCCACACAGGGGAGTTTAGCAACTGAAGATTAGGGTAGATGGGAGAAGCATAGATAAAAATATTATTAGGGCCACGGTTTTCTAAGTGGGAGATAGTAATGATTAGCAATAATGTCCAAAGGCAAGTTGAAAAAGAACAACTGTGTGTGTGTGTGTGTCTTTTATCCGTGGGTTAAAGGGAAGCTGGGAGAGGGCTTGTAGTACAGCCCCCATCCCAGAGCAAAGGTAGAGATAAACCACATGTAACAACTTTTGTTAACAAATATTATACTTAATATTATAATAATATAATTATAGCAGATTCATTCTAAAATACATGATATGTGATGGTACAATAAGCAATTAGGACTGTACTATGTAAATGAGTTTGAAAACTTGAGATGTTTGTGAGATCTGGAACTTGATATATTGATGAAAATAAATTGAGAAAAGTCTGTATTAATTTTATAGTGTATGAATGTATTAAAATATCATTCTCTTCATGTTTACCAATTGCACCAAGTTAAAATGAATTTTCATTTAAGTTCACAATTGATGGCAGAATGCTTATGGGCAGTCTTGATGCAAATAAAGAAAACCCTGACTACCCTGGTTTAATATGATTTTATTACAGAAATTTTTTTTTAGTTTGAAGTATTAACAAATGAAATCATGTGTGAAACAAATACTGGGGGCGGGTTTGCAATATTTTAAAAAATTACACAGAAGCTTTAGTGTATCTCAGATTTTTCATAACATTAATATCTCAAGATCCTTGCTGACTTCACTTTCTTTTCCTCCATTTTTCTATTTTCTCACAAATAGTTATATTAACAATCTATTCTCTTTGAATATATTTTTCCTACATACCATGTATTATAAATACAAAATACAGTAAGAAAACAGCCCAATGTAGTAACTGGGAAAACTTACCATTGAAATACCCATTATGTTTATAGCTTCTAAGAAGAAGTATTTTTAAAGTTACAGAAGATAAAAATAAAAATAATGACTATTCCATAAAATAGATAAAAATAATTCATATTTATTTTTAAGATATGAATGAAGAAATTAATATAATCTTGATCAGTTATAATTTTATCATATATTGGACTAAAATAAAATGATATTCTCATCTTATATCTTCAATAATAGTACATAAAATACATTTTAATTATTAAGTCATTAAATTGGTCAGAAGTAAAATATAACCATAATTACCTATATTCATTTGGTACCTGGCTATAATTAGGAGCATATGAAAAATTAACTCCTCAGATCACAAAGAAAAATTACCATCATTATTTGCAATGTTACTTACTGTGTGCATGCATACAGAAAATGTATTTATTTGCTTTCTGGAAAAATAAAAGTAATTCTAGTTATTACTTTTTAATTTTCTACATATTTACAGAGATAGACTGGTTTGTTTCCTTCTGTTTTCAGCTGGGATTCTCGCCTGCCTGGATTTGCCTTCAATGATCAATTCATTCAGATATCTACACGTCTGCCATCACAATATTTATATGGTTTCGGGGAAGCGGAACACACAGCATTCAAACGAAATTTGAATTGGCATACTTGGGGGATGTTCACAAGAGATCAACCTCCTGGAGTAGGTACCAATTTGTGGCTACCAAATGAGGCAGCAAAGATAGTGATGACGATCTAGTTCACTTCTTTGCAGGCTGATAACTCAAGCCTGAAACACTTAATATAAAGAGGAATATAGACTTGAACTGCTGATGTGGTTTTCTGAAAGAAAAAAAAAACAATATTATCAGAAATTACAGAAAAAAGTAGAAAATATACATTTTAAAAGTATTTTGAAAAATATTGAACAATTTTTTATTTTAGTTCTTAGATTTTATTTTTAACTTTGGAAATACATTTAATTTTAATTTTTTTATCTTTTTTTTAACACACTGAGTCCAATAGTGCTTCCAACATATAGATGGGCATAAGGTATCTAGCAGAGCCTGGGAAACCTACCAGTGGCCATTTGTAAAGAGTGATTCTCTCTTCCTAGCAGTAGCTGAAGGCAATTTACTCCTGGCTAAATGTGGGGCACTCTGCCTCTCTTTCCTAATCCATAATCAGATCCTTTGAAGAGAAATGCTCTGAGGTTATGTGTGCAGCTATCATGGTATATTGAGAGTATAGCATTTCACAGAACTCTTGGACATCCCTTGCTTCCTTTGTGTCTCCTGTTTTGAAATGTAATCTGAGTGTAGAAAATTGATATAGAGGTATACATGTCCTAATTTTGATAGTCACTGGTGATCATAATCACCACTTTCAACAGTGGTACTTCTCCACATTCAGCACAGCTACCTGCTATGATAAGTTTCTTTGACCAAGGTTGGTGGCAACTCAAATCTATGTAGATACACTTAAATTAGAAAAACAATTTAACAACATGACCATTTAGAAAAGCAACATCAATAGGTTCTCTGCTCGAGCCTGTGACTCCCCTCACCATGTTTTTTGGGGCTATATGTTTATAACATTATGTCTGAAACCTTCCTGTTGGCACATGTCAATTCCAATCAGGACAGCAATTGGCCACTTCCATAAACTATCTTGCAACTATTGCTCAGTGTGTACACCTTGTTGGGTATGTCGTTATTATATCATGTAGGCGAAGGCATTGATCAAGTGAGATCGTTGATATTTTTTCTACCCCCAGGAACTGGCATAGCACCTCTCTAGCATTTATGTGTTAGATAACAGAATACATACAAAGGCTGTATCAAGATTATTTCCAAAGAAATCTTCATTAGTAATATAGCTATTATTTGATTAACTTGATCTAGATTTAAAATTGATTCGTAACTAGTTTATTAACTTTCCAGCCACATAGAACAAAAATACTTATAGGATTCCTGGAGATAACTTCTTGTGGTATATATACATCACTATTAGTTATTTGATGCCATACCCCTATATTCCATGCATAAAATTGTACATTTTATGCGTTCAAACTACTACTTATATCCTTAACAATATTCCTATGTGTTCTGATACTTCCTAGGGTTCTATTTTGATATCAGAACACATTTCTTGGACACCCAACACATTGAAAAATAAATAATAATAATTGTTATCATTCCAAATATATCATGAATAAAAATGTTTTAAAAACTAACTCACCGTCAGTTTTACTTGAAATTTCTACTTGAAGGATATATTCATTAACAATAAAGTAATATTACACTTATTTATGTGATGATATGTATAATCAATGCTGTCTTTACCATACTGAAAATGTATCAGCATCTATTCAAAAGAGTGCTATATCAAAATTATTTCAAAAGAATTCTTTAATAATAATTAATATAGCAGCTATTTGATTAATTTGATCATTTCACATGCTAATATATTACTAAAATTTGAGTTCGAAAATCAAAATTGCATTCTGAATATTAAAGTCTATTTTTATAAACATTTTGTTCTTGATAGTTGAATTACTTACATCACTATATTTCTTTCCAGGACATTTTATTTTAGGAATAGTGCTAACTTACAAATAAAGTGAGATACCCAACTTCTTGCAAGGAACAACTACTTTACCATCAGGGCTGCTTGTCAGTTACTGTCACATCCTTTATGGATGTTACATATTTTCTTATTTAATGGCATTCTCTATAGAAGTATCCATTCAAATAAAAGATGTTTAAATGTGATACATTTTATTCAAGTACAGTTGAATTTGATAATAAAGAATAAATTAATTCCCAAGCTTAATGTTACTTAATTTAAGCAACATTGATTTAGCTCATTCCTTATTGTTCCTAAATATACATTATGTTTTTTAACTTTCAGTATAAACTGAATTCCTATGGATTCCATCCCTATTATATGGCTTTGGAGGATGAGGGCAATGCTCACGGAGTTCTTTTACTGAACAGCAACGGAATGGGTAAAGCTACAATTTGATTAATTTCTCATGTAAAATAGGTAAATGTGATCTAATAACAAATAGCTCTTGCAGATAAAAACTTAAGTCTTATTTTGGATTTTCAGATGTTGCATTCCAGCCAACTCCTGCTCTAACCTTCCGTACAATTGGTGGAATCTTGGATTTTTACATGTTTTTGGGACCAACCCCAGAAGTTGCAACAAGGCAATATCATGAAGTATGAATGCATATTTATTAAAATTTTTTATAGGTTTATTTACAATGTAAATTATTTCTTTTTATCTAACTTATAATATTTTTAAAGGTAATTGGCTTTCCAGTCATGCCACCTTACTGGGCTCTAGGATTCCAATTATGTCGGTATGGATACAGAAATACTTCAGAGATTGAGCAACTGTACAACGAAATGGTGGCTGCTAAAATTCCCTATGTATGTATATTAATAATATGTGGATTCCATAAAGACAGAGTGAAATAATATACACTGTAATCTTTGGGATTATATTAAACATTTGGAAATAATGCTTATATTTCAGCAGCATCTTATGAATTAGATGCAGGATTTTTTGCATATTTTTGTCATATACATAAGTAAGGAGCTATAATATTCCCCTTTTGCTTACTTTCCTACTTTAAAGATCCTGAACTGTTCTAAACAAACCTCTTTACACATTTTTTTCTTGCATACATTGTGGTTAGATTAGTCTGGTTTGTTCTGTTTTCAATGTCTGAGTAATCTGTAGAATCACTTAATGTGACAAGTTTGAAGGAGTTTGACATGAACCATGTGAATGGATCCTAAGATATAGAGTTGGATTAGATAAGGCTGAATGGCAGACTTTACAGAATATGCTGTTTCCATAATGCTCAGGAGATCAATTTAATCTATATTAAAGAATTCTTGTAACACATGTACACACCAGTATACTAGGCTATCAGCATAAGAGCTAATTTTACATTAAGAACCTCATTATATAACATTGTTTTTATATCAGAATCTACTATTGCTGAATGCATTATTATCAGAAAAATAATTACACACAAGCAAATCAATATTTGAAAATGAGATTTTCGAATATTATCCTAGTATGACAGTTAAAATATTTACATAAACTGGAATAATTTAAGAAAATATCAATTGACAGGAAATAGGTGGCAAATTAGTTGTTTAAGACTCATTTTAAATTTCTGATGGTAAATTTCAAGTTTGGTGCTTTAAAAATATTTCCAAATATTTAAATGTAAACAGTGAATCATTTAACATATTTTCAAAATCAATTTAAATTATATAAGACCAAACAATTTATAATAATTAATAAAATTTTAAATATTTTGTTTCTTTTGCTATTGTTAGAATTAATTAAATTATCTTGAATCTATTTATGGTTAATATGACTATAAAAGTATTTTTGATATCTGCATTGAAATTTTAATTTTTAAGGGAACATATTACTGTAATTTCATAGCATTAAAATCCTTTTGTCGCTGTTTTACATGGAATCCAATATTGAATTTTTTTTTAATTTAGAATGTTTACTTCTCAAATAAAATTATTGTTGAACAATTGACCAAACCAATCATGCATATAAAATTGTTCTTAGTCTGTTTTTCATTCTTGATCACCTTTTTTGACTTCTTTAATACAGGCTTGATGCAAGACACAACCTCCAAAGAATTCTTCCAATTTGTTATTATTTTCTATTTTAGGATGTTCAGTATACAGACATTAATTATATGGAAAGGCAACTAGACTTCACAATTGGTGAACGATTCAAGACTCTTCCTCAGTTTGTTGACAAAATAAGAAGCGAGGGAATGAAATATATTATTATACTGGTCAGTATCAATTTTTAAGGGAATTCTATTATTTGTTTGTATTTACTTCTCTAAAATGAGGGTATGAAAGACTTTAAAAAGAAAAAGGAGGACACCTTTGGACTTGGAGCCTGGTGATGATTCAGTAATTAAGAAAACTTCCTCTTTTTAGGAAAAGCCCAGTTTTGGCCTCTTCTGGCCTTTTCAGCACCAATGGCACAGGGGCACACACACACATACAAACATACACACACACACACACACACACACATACACACAGCACATTTAAGTAATGAAAACAATTATCAAACTCTACTCTTACCTATTGACATTTTTCATTTTAATATTTTATTGTATTTACATGGGCTATTCCCAGCTACCTGAGAATAAGTTCTATGTATAAATACAAAGTCACATGACAGATATTAAAGACAAAATATACCTTCCTCACCACTCTAGTTGTAAATGGTTTCAACTTACACAAATGAGAGGAGATATTTTTGCTCCCATATAAACCTTAGATGTTCTTTTGAATTTCTTCTTCTGTTTTTTTTTCTCATTTAAAATTTGGTTTCCTCTGGGATTAATAAAAGTAATCAGTGAGAGGTAAGTTTATCAATATACTTATGGAGCAAGCTAGACAACTGAAAAATTCAACAGATAAAAATGAAACCAAAAAGCATTAAATAAGCTTGCTTGAGTTCCTAGCAGATTGTTTTGAGAATTTTTAGAACATTGGTGTGGCCCTGGTGTTTGGCCATTTCTTCAAATGAGAACAGAAAGTTGTGATAATGCAAAGGTAGTAAGTTACAGTGTCTCTGATTGGCCACCTAAAATAATTGGAGATTTGCTCTGTATGCAATTTGTTTTAATTGTGTATTGTTATTTTAATCTTAGGATCCAGCAATTTCAGCAAATGAAACACAGCCTTACCCCGCCTTTGAACGAGGAATACAGAAAGATGTTTTTGTCAAATGGCCTAACACAGATGACATTTGTTGGGCAAAGGTACTCAATACTGTTAAACTAGATCATCTTGAAAATGCTAGATATTTTAATTTTGTTTTTAATATTTTTAAAACATTCAGAATGAAAGATAAAAATGTATATTTAATAATTAAAATATATGTACTGATCTAAATCTGATCTAAATCTGAATTATTAGGCACAAATAAAGAATTCATATAAATCCTAAAGCTAAATATTTTATCATTAAATTGTGTATCATTTTTTAAATATGTTTTGTGTTTTATAATGAAACTTCCTATAGTGGATGCTGTGATGAATACTTATGTATTCTTACTTTTGCAGAAAGCATCTTATTAATAAAAAGAGTAATGGTTTGGGCTTTGTTGTTATTTTATTTGAGAACTAAATTTATCTGATTAAAGTGAATAAGGAAAGTCATTCACTGAACCTTATAAACAGTGATACTGAGAGCCAAGTGAATTATGGGAACATCTGGATTTGATTTCCATATAGTATTTTTAAGGATTAAATAGAACGGGGAAATTAAAAGAGTGAAAGCTGAGATTAACATCTACAGCAAGATCAGACCTTCACTGGTGTGGGAGAAGCCAGCAGGACAATCTTGGTAATGGAGAATATTGAGCTGCCAGGAGTCAGAGACCGGTAGCTTATAGTAGGGAGGATAGAGGTAATGGTTTCCCAGACATGAAAACTGTTTTTCTATACAAACTGGGTTAAAAGAATGATAAGTCAAATTGCCCATTTTTGCAACCTCTGAGCTTTAAGGCTTGGGGGTCAGGGTTAGTTATTTTCTCTGACTCCTGTGACTAGCACATTTCCTAGAACCTTGGGCCTGTTTTATGTCCCGTGATTAGGAAGATTATCCTTTAATATTCAAAAAAAGTCCAATAATATTTAAAATAGGATAAATTATACAAATTCCTATGTAAATGACATAATTTATTAAATATGTTTAATTTTTTTCTACTTTGTTGGTCATTGGCATTGTTGTTTTTGAATCCAACTTATGATATTGAATTCAAGCACAGCCTGAACACTAGTTAATCGTTTTTATCACATTCATGGTGGTTATATTACATGCTAAAATTTACAGAATGTGGATGAAGAAAATAGACATATTTTAGACATATTTCTCTAGATTTAAAAATATTATAAAATGAAATGGATAAGGTACAAGAATAGGGATTAGAGGGACAGAAATATAAAAGTTAGATTTTGCCTCTAATAACATTCCTAATTTATACAACAATCATACCCCACTCATCTTGAATTATTATTCTATTACTACTTTTTGACAGGTTTGGCCAGATTTGCCTAATGTTACAATAGATGAGACCATAACAGAAGATGAAGCTGTTAACGTAAGTCTTGTATTGCTAAATTCCAAAAATCAGATTTTGAAATTAAATGTTATATTAGCATATACTTGAAATTGAAGATTTTCCTTTTAAAAGGAGGAAGGTTCTTTTTTTAAAAAAATAATTTCTATTGGATTGTCTTTCATTGTCTTTATCTAATTTTTCCTATATATAAAGCTTTTTGAGTAACTAGATAAAGTGATTGTATGTTTTAAATCATATTTGGGATTTTCATCTTATCACAGTAATGTTTTGGTTCTTTGGTTCTTTTGTTTGCTTGTTGGTTTTTGATTTTATACCATTTTAATTATATGCAAGTATTAAGGTCAGTTCTAGGTTGAGGAACTAGCAATACAATAGATGCCAATAGTCAAGAAAGAACCAAGACAATAAACACAAATGGTCAAAGAACAAGCAAGGCAATAAACAAAGTTCCATGATCACTCCAGTGATCACTGTTTCTAAGGGTTTATCAGGATGACCAAAATATCTGAGACTACTTCCCTGTTCTAGCCCAAAGTTATTTTCATTCCTGAAGCTTACTTTCTTGTTCTACCATAAGATTAGATTACTGCCTGATAATTTTAGGTTTCAAACTCAGGTCAAATGGTTAGGAAGACTATTTAGCATATCAAAGTGAAGCCAGGCACTAGCAGGAATTACTTGTTACAGGACCCTCTGACTTGCTTAACCCACACCCATACCCTGAACTTTTTCAACCCAGGGGCTGGGCTGTCTTTATCTCAGCTTCCGTTCTTTACGTAACTTGCTGCAATTGCTCCCTGACTCTCCCATTCCCTCACCCCTCTCCTTAGGTAGCTCATGGACATATCTATTCCACACTCTCCCAGATGTCTTTGCCTCTGGCTATGCTCTCTTATAAACTTTCCCCTCTACCATGTACTTTCCTTTAGATTTTATTTTTAATTCACTTAACATGAGATGTTATTGTAATAATACTTTTCTTTCCTTTGATTACCCTATATCACTCAGCATACTACTCCCAGATTCTGAGATGATAAAAAGGGAAGCATTATTATGCTTATCTTGTAGAAAATGAGTTTTTAAGACACAAGTTGTCACAAAAGACAGCTTTTACCTGGATCTTCTTCTCCCGGAAAACATTAATTGCTAGAACCTCCTCAATTTGTGGGTTGTGGATTTGTATACATCTCCTTTTTCTGTGTTTGGATGTCATCTGGCTTGAGCTTACACAACCCCTGTGATTTACTTGTGAAACTGCTCTATATTGTCAAAAAAGTGCTTGTAGTCATCTGCCACCTCTGACTCATGGAATCATGTAGCCCGTTTTCCCCAAGATCCTTGAGCTGTTCTCTCATCACCCACTTAAGATTGGGAGGTACACTTTCTTTCTCTTTGCACTTTCATCCCTGTCCTCATTGCCATGGGATGTTGGAGAGAAACTACATTCATCATTACACATGTGGAATTGAGAATCTGAAAACAAAGTTCTGGTCACATATACATGTTCTCTGAAGACTTTTTCAATTTCATTTTGTTTAGGCTTCAAGAGCATATGTAGCATTTCCAGACTTCTTTAGGAATTCCACCTCAGAGTGGTGGGCAAGAGAAATTTATGATTTCTACAATGAAAAAATGAAGTTTGATGGCTTGTGGATTGTACGTGAGCTTTTACGACTTTTTTAAAGACTTTTTTCTTATATTTATTCTGTAGTGGTTTTGCAAATCTAATTATGCCTATATAGCCTTGTAGCTTAGCTCACTCTTTTGTTGCTAAACATTGTTATACAAAAGACTGCTAGAATAGACCTTTAAATTTTCAATATATATGTATGACTGTTACTTCCTGGGTTTTTCCACTTGAGAAAGTAGCCAAAGTAGCCTCCACTTTTAATTATGAAAAATGCATTAACTGCTTTCTTTATTTTATCTAGTGCAAAAATGTCACACTTAAATATTAACAAAAGTAATGCCTTTCAAATACCTTTCTTATTTTAGAAGAAACTTTATAATTTGTTACTAATTTTTTTAGTATCATTTTGAGATAGAATAAGAGAATCTACTTTTCTATAGGTAAAAATGTAATTCAGGAGAATATACACAATGTTTGTCCAGTTTTTGATTGGGATTGATTGCTGTGATGCCTTGAACATGAATATTTATATTTACTAAGTCTTTAAGGAAAATTTAATGTATGAACATACCTATAGGATACAAAATTCCATGTGATTCAAAATCATTTATCTGTTATTCAAACATTTGAAGTATAAGAAATATTTCATAAACATATTCTTGAGAATTAAACATGGGTCAGAAAAGATAATTTTTTCTCAAGTGGAAGAAGTCATTTCATAAGAGTTATTCAAGGATCTGTCCATTTTGCTTGATTATAGAGATTCTAATCCAGTAGAGGTGCTCCTTGTTGCTTCTTGGCCTATGGCTGAGATCAAGAATAAAGATGCCCCTTGAAGTATTTATCTTGTAAACTACATCTTGTACTTCAAACATAAAACAATTTTTGCCAGTTTGAAGTTAGAGGGAGTGGAAATTATAAGACATATATGATCATAAATTAAATCATGGTAGCATAATATTCGATTCAGTCTTATTTGCATAAATCTCCATGAGAAATATATTTTCTGTTTTTCTAACGAGACATAAATTATAGAAATCCCTTTGAATATTCTGAGCTAAACAAGGCAATTTGATCAAATGTTTTAAAATTTTGAAATATGGAGAAAACAAAAAGCAGTTCAAAACTGTTTATCTTATTTGCACTCCAACACTCCAAATTATTTACTATAGTACTCTTTATTTCCCAGATAATCCACGCCTCTTAAAAAATGACAATGTCAACTCAGTCTCCTGAGCTCTGGAGTTATACATCTGTGCTATCAAATTACTCTTTTTAACTTGTTGTTTTCTCTTTAAGGATATGAATGAGCCTTCCAGCTTTGTAAACGGAACAGTTACGAATCAATGCAGAAATGATACACTGAATTATCCACCTTATTTCCCAGGTACAATTTGATGGCTATACTTTTTTATAATATTGTATCATTAGTATTGCTTATTGTTTATGCAGACCTCAAGTTATAGTAAGTATAAATTTATCCTAAAATTTCAACAGTCAGTCACACAGACCAATATGTCCAATCTCATGCCCAATGTCCTACAACTCAACACTGTTTTGAAGATAAAAGCAAATGTTTTGTTTTTGTTCTCATAATTCTAACTTAACTTTGCATCATGATTTTCTAAGAATTTCCTAAAATAAATTAATTCCTTTAATCATTAAAAATTGCTTAGCAATTTTTCCTAGGAATGAGAAAATGGAAGAAAGTTATGATTTTCTGCCACTTGTGATCTGGTGACAGATAATGTCTGAAAGAAAGTAGCAAACACATTTGTTGAAGTCAAGAACAGCTTTGGTTCTGAGATTTTTGCTCTAAGTGAATTATTTTAATGAAAATGTACTGAATCAAAATTTGATGTCTAAATGAATGAAAAGCAATAGAAATTTTAGCAATGTAGAGATGGGTTGATGGTAGAGTACCTATTGCTCTTTCAGAGAACCAAAGTTTGGTTCTTAACACCCACCCACAGAAGTTCAACACTACCTACAAAACTTCAGGTCCAGAGGATCCAGCACTACTTTCTGGCCTCCATGACCACTTATACTCATGGACGTGTGCACATATATAAGAAATACAAAGTAAATTATAAAAAGTCATATGCAACTGAGAATGTACTTATATTTTAGGTATTTATAAAGATTGATGTAATATTCTCCAGGTCACTATAGACGTTTAAAATTAGTGTACACAAAATGTACAAATAATTAAAATTGTCAATTAAATCTCATAATTTGTTTTCCCTAAGAATATATGGGTGGATGGGATTTTAATTTGATAGAAAATATGTGCCTTTACTATGGCACATCAGGTGAATATAGGAAACTGGGGTATATAGTATTTCAGAATATTTGTAAGAACAGGCTTTTCACATATTCACCATAATGAATTGTTGAAAGTTTTGAGTGATCATTGTAGTTCTGAGCCTGAGTTCATTAGTATCCTGTTTATTCAGAAAGTAAAATATTATTTTGTACTTCATAAGAATATTGTATTATTAATAAAACAAATCTGAAAATTAATATTAATGTGTATGTAGTTATGAGCTACATATTTCAAGTCATGGTATTCAAAGTATTACAATATTTTCCCTGATTTTCACAGAACTCACAAAAAGAGGTGAAGGATTACATTTCCGAACTATGTGCATGGAAACTGAACATATCCTTAGTGATGGATCATCAGTTTTGCATTATGATGTACACAATTTATATGGATGGTCACAAGTAAAACCCACTCTGGAGTAAGTTATGTTTCGAATTTTCTACTCTGTGTTTCTGGTTCAATTATGTTGATGATATCAGCTTCAACCTTCCATACTTGAAGAGTCTTGCTGAATTTCTTTCTATTTCAATTGCTCTTTTTAATTTACTTCTTTCATAAATTTTATAAAAAAAATTTCATTTCTTTCAGTCAGGTAAGCAATCAGCCAGTCTACTTATCATTATAACGTTATTATTGTTTTTTATTTAATTTTTTTGTGTTAATCCATAGAATTATAGGCCATTTTAGTGTCACATGTATGTATATATATATATATATGTGTGTGTGTGTGTGTGTGATAGTAGATGTGTACGCCATATATATGTGTATCAAATATATGTATATCCTATATATAAATATATGCTAATATATTTATATGTCATACATATGTATATGTCATATATACATATATATGTTTTTCAAAGTGTGAGATATGTAAGGAAATACTTTTGTGATGAAAGATGAAAAATGAAAAGTGAAAAAAAGATGCAGATAGATTAATGTATCTTTGCATTAATTTTAAACTGAAATATATTTTAATAGTCAAAGTCATTAACTCTACCCTCTAAGGATAGAAGAGAAAGAAAAGAGTAATTATAAACACATTTGTAAAATACATTTTCTTGATGAGATTTGACTAGCGATAAATTGCAGAACTAAAGTACAATGATTGCTTTTTTAACAACAAATAATCCATTAAAGTCTCCAATTCTTTCTATGCTGTTATGCAAAGAGTGCTTTAGCAAACATATTCTTCAGAGTTATATGTACAAAATTATGGTTAAATTATAACTGAGACGATGAGCTACATTGAGTTATACATTTAGACTTATATGCTCTATTTGATTATTAGCTTAATTAATGTTATTTATAGTTAACTTACATTCATTGAAAGGTTAAAAAAATTTCATGTTAAATGTGCATGTTACTCTAGTGGATGTTAGAAGAGAATAAAAAGGTCTGTTATGCCTGGAAGGGTTTCAGTATATAGTGAGTGAAACGTTGTCTGTGACAGGACACCTGTACCATAAAGTAGATAATATGTTTTCATAAGGTTGCCTCAGTAAAAATATTTAAGACAAGCATTGTGACACAAGCACTTGGGAAGCAGATATCTGAGTTTGAGGCCAGTCTGGTATATAAAATAAGTTCCTGAGCAGTGAGGACTACTCAAAGAAACTCTATCTTAAAAAGCAAGCAAACTTATTTAAAGTAAATGAATGATATTAATATGCAACATATGTTTTCATTGTACAGTGCATTACAGAGCACCACTGGACAGAGAGGGATTGTCATCTCTCGGTCCACATATCCTACAGCTGGTCACTGGGGGGGACACTGGCTCGGAGACAATTACGCAAACTGGGATAATTTGGAAAAATCACTCATTGGTATGAGATAATTTTCTTCTATCAGTATTTTTTGTACTTTTCAAGAAAATATTTATTTGTCTTGTGCTAGGTAAATATCACTACAAGTAAGAATTAAAATATTATTATTGTTTTTATGAAACAGTATGTTACTGAATTGTCACTAGTCAGGCAGATATAATCAAGGATGCTTTAGAGAAGTAAATGACTGATGATATTCAGCTAGTTTATTTGGATATAAATATCTTTATCCATTTTAGGTTGTTTCCAGGTTGAAAATGCAAGAGCTTGAAGAGACAGTATTTGAAAGCAAAGAAAGAAGTTAGCATGTGTTATCTGCTAGAGATTAATAATCATTGAGAGATGGTAAAGGAAAAGCATATAACTAAAGTTTTTCTGATATTAGATGCATGGTAAAAGGCTATGCATTTCATACCATGAAAAGATAATTACCATTTTGATTCTAGACTTAAACATTATTGACTAATGATAGATTTCTTCAAACCACGCTCAAAATATCTTTACTAAAGAAATAAGAAATAGTATGTATTTAATTTTGATGAAATTCTCATTTGTTTTAGTACTTAATAAAAAAAATTACATTTGTTCTACATGATAAAATAAGTAACTAAATACTAGCAAAAATATTTATTTTAAAAATTAAAATTAAAACAAAACACTACCACTTAGACTTATGACACTGTGTTATGTTTATAGCTTATTTGTGCTTAAATTATGTTATAATGCTATTTTCTTAACCCATGTGATCTCTTATTTTTGAGAGTATCACTAATACTCATAAGTACAATAACAATTATTATAAGTTTTATAAGAAAATAATTTATTATTAATACCAAAGTATTTCATTTAATAAGAACTGATATACAAAGAGAACATCTTCATTTAATAAATGCATAATACTAAAATAAATGAAAATATCAATGTAATTTTTTTTATTTTATTTTTTAGGTATGCTGGAATTTAATCTTTTTGGGATACCATATGTAAGTAGATCTGTTCAATTTGTATTTGTAGTCTATACCTATTAAGAAATAGTACTTGATATGCAATAAATATAAACTATCTTTTAGGTTGGAGCAGATATCTGTGGTTTTTTTAACGATACTGAATACCATCTCTGTGCTCGTTGGACACAAGTTGGAGCCTTTTATCCATATGCGAGAAATCACAACATTCAATTTACTAGAGTATGTAATAATTTCTACATCTATGTCAACTTTGTTTTATTTATTTTTCCCTATACAGCCTTATATTGTTTGTTGTTGCTTCAATTATATTTTACTTGGCAATGTTATAAATGAATATTTCAAATCTTTTCATATTTATGAAGTAGTAGTAAGTATGGCCTGAAATGTACCCAGAAAACATGGCTTGCTTACAGAACACACACACTATAGCTGATCAATAAGATTTTGGAAGAGTTAGGGGAAAAAATATCTTACTGTAGAACATATTTCAAACTGGAACAGAGTTACAACAAAAATTTCAACTTGAAACTAAATTGGTTAGAAGTATGACACATTTGCAATAATGAATGAAATGGGAAGATCTAAAAGCAAATATTGAAAAAGCAACTTCAGAAATTGAAAAACAAGAAAATATAGTATGGTTTGCAGGAGCAGATTTCTGTGCAGTGGCAACCACTGAGAGTTATTAACTTATATGCATACAGTTTTTGAGTGTTATGTTAGACAGTGATTAATCTAATGGAAAACTGTGAACTATAAGAGACAATATCCTACTATGCATTAGCTTGTGCTAAACGTTTAGTTAATTTGCAGAGAAAAGGAGAACTGGTCAGAAAAGCATGTCAGTCCAATGTTGACAATAGAAACCATTAGAGAGACACAGTCTTAATACATTTACGAATTAACAGATTCAAGGTATGTTGAGAAAACATTGTACTATGCAAATTTTACTTGATCTAGGGGGAGTGGATTTATTTTCTTAATAATCAAATAACAAGAATACACACATATTAGGACTTCATTTTGAAGCAATTTTAACGAAAGGCAAACTGTGGTGTACTATTTTGAAGAACTATGAACATTTTAATAGAAACTTGCTATTAATTTAGGATATTACCACACTAGAGTAAAAGAACAGGGATTAAGGAAAGGGTGAGTAAGGAGCCATTTAAGGAATATTTATTGAAAATGTATATATATATGATTAAATATTATTTAGATTTTATTCTAAGGTTTCATTATATTATAATATGATTTATATCACATTTATATTTAAAAGAGGCTAAAATTAAATAAGCATGAGGAGTTGAAAATACAGTTGAGGACATATATATGATGGTTTTTCACATAAATGTTAATTCTATGATGGCTTGGATGAGGAGACATTTGAGCAGAGGTCTCAGCAAGAAAAAAATTAAATATTTGGGGAGAAGAATTCAAATGTAGATTTCTAGATTTAAAAGTCCCTGAGATGCTAATAATTTTGGAACAAAGATAGCATAATAAGGACAGATGGAAGAAATAACTATAAATAATTATCCTCAGAAAAGAATAATCAACTTGTTTAAATATTAATTAATATGATTGAACATAATTCTCTATGATATATATAGATACAGATATACTACCATATATATCATATGGTAGTATATCTGTATCTATATATATCATAGGGTATTATGATATATACTATTATATGTATACACACACACACACACACACACACACACACACACACACACATATATATTAGTGAATCAACAGACCAAAAGTTGAGATTAAGTAATGTCACAATAGCCTACTCTCTTTCTCTCTTTCTACTAACTTGACTATGAAACCACTATATATATAAAACTAAGGTACATAAGTCATGCATAACTTAATTTTTGGGCTGGTCATTTCAATCTTTGCTTATTCTAATAGTGCACTTACCAAGGAGAACACCAGGTTGTCATACCAACTTTCTTATTTCCAAAATCTAGTAAGTCACATTCTTGATTAACATGATGTAGCTCTGAAAGGCTCTTTGGTTATTGTTATTAACAAACCTAAGAGAAGTGTGTTTTGTAATTATTAGTAAGTGTAGTTTGTTTCCATGTTATAAACTAAAATATATAAAAATCACTGTCCCTTAAGTTTTCCTGATAAAAGCAACAATATTTTTGTAGATTCTTAGTATTGTACCATTAAGACTACTCCTTTGTCTTGAAGTGCATATTCCAAAGGAGACTTAAATGCATTCAAGATTAGTATGCACATTCTTCCTATGCTATTAATAGTACATTAATCTATTCATTTCACATGAGACTGTATGGTGGTATGTGAGGCTAATATGCTGAGCGCTACTTATCTCTTCCTATTTTGAGCCACTTTGTCTAACAAACCATATCATTTCCTTTCTAGATTTCTCATTCCCAACACTGAGTATTACATAGCTGACAGTATATTTATCATCTTCTAAAATATGAACTATACTTTGTATATGTATACCTACATTAAATCAAACTTTGAACTTAATTTACATTTTTATTAAAATGCTAATATTCTACCAGTTTCATTCTTCATATAAAATACAATTAAGGCAACATGGGAGATTTTTATAAAGATAGTATATGGAACATAACATTATTAATAATTTTCTACTTTTATTCTCTAACAATGTATTTGCATATTGAGATTCAAACAATGTGCTATGGCTGTTGAATTGCGCTTTGTTTCAGAGGCAAGATCCTGTATCCTGGAATGAAACTTTTGCCCAAATGTCAAAGAATGTTCTAGAAATCAGATACACTTTGCTGCCCTATTTCTATACACAAATGCATGAAGCCCATGTTCATGGTGGAACTGTCATCAGACCCCTAATGCATGAGTAAGTGTGAATTTTATTTTATTTCAATGAGTAGCTTTTGATTACTTTAATCTATTAGCTACTATAGTATATTTCATAGATGCTTTACTATACATTTTGATCTAATAAAGGAATTACATAAATAATTCTAATAAGCCCACTTATGTAGTCAGTTATCATATAAAATCTCCTAATAATTAAACAAGTCATACTTACTTTAAAATAGCTCTTTAACTTATTCATGAGGCATTTTGCTTCTCAAATCTCCTATGTTAACTGAGTAATTAAGCAAGGTGGACTCCAGTTTCACTGATGATAAATTAAAAAACCACACTGTCCATTATAACTTAAGAACTAATACTCAAAATAAAATTAAAATAATAAATTTCAATTTTATGCCTTCACTTGTGATTGAATGATTAAAAGATGTAACAAATAAGAAACTGCAATATTTCCAGCCCTAAGTGGAATATCTCCATCTCTTAAGGCTCAGCAATCATTGTGTGCTGGGTAGAAAGATTAAAAGAGCCAGAGAGACTGCAGATGACAACAGGAAAACAGTGATTTCTACACACAACAGGGAAGTTGCACTTGTGAACTCACAGTGCTCTAATGGTGTTCTCAAAAGTTTATGCAAGCCCAATCCAGACAAAATCCAAGCATGGAATGGTAAAATAGACAGGAAATACTACTCCTGGCTGACGAACTATTAGAAATGGATGACACTTAGCAGACAGAGAGTCAGTCTTAGGGGTCTAGCTCCTGGTGGGTTGAACATGCTCCAAGGGATAGTCACAGAATCAGTATATAGGCAGCACTTTTTGGACCCAGACGGTTGAGGGCACAATAAAAGGTTGTGATAGTTAGAGGCAATTAGCAGATGTGAATATGACTAACACAAAAAATAAAAACTCAAAATAATTATATTTAGAAAAAAATAAAGTTTGTAGTAAAAAAGATACACCTCCATTCAAGGTACATGGAGACTGTGTTCTTAGTTCATCTCCAGCTGCCCAACTTTTCCTCTCCATCTTCTACTGACACTCCTTAGTTTTCAGGCTAATTTGCTTGCCTTTCTAACGTGTGAGACACTGATTATGGATTCTGAACAGTTCTTTTGTTTTGCTGAGAGTGCTTCAGCCTTGGTGTCACTGGGAGTTCAGAAAGGGCTAGACCCCAGCGGCCAGTTTACCACTATGCTTGGTTGCTAATGAAACAAAAGCAAAACTAAACACAATGCTTAATTTCAGTAGCATAACATTGGCTAGTAACTATTTCATAATCTGTAACATTTTTCCCTATGGTCATTTAATTTCAGTATTAGAAGCCAACTTACATATGCACGAATCTTTGATGATATAATGGTGTGTCAGACAATAAGAAGAGCTTTAAGATAGGCAACCATTCCCCCATCCACTCACTGTCCCCCTCCCACTGTCCCCAATGATTTTCCTTCATCTTGCCTCAGATTATAGGTATAAACCTACACATCTTGTCTTAAAAACTCTTCTGTTAAAATTTTTAAAAATCCATGCAGTGAAAGTTTTATAATCTTTTTCAAAGCTGTCTCTCATTGCAGCTTTCAATTAGACTATTTACTAAACAAAGTTAGTATTTCAATACCTGTATTAAGTCTCCTCTATAAACTCTTTTCCATAGTGACTTGCCTCTAAATTCTGCAAATATTTCTTATAAATCTTTTTCATTAGAATATTTAGACATAGTTTGGTTTTATGTATTAGAAGTCCACGTGCAGCTTAGAATAGACAACACCAGACCAAATGGTTCCAGGGTGGGAGGTTTATTCAGGGCAAATGTGTGGGGGGGAAATAGAGGAAGAAAATGGAAGAAGAGGGGGTGAGGTCGGTGTTCTGCCTGTTTAATAAGGGCGGTGACTTAGCCCCTCCCAGGGAGGATTCTGGGAGTGTATGCAGTTGCCTTGACAACGATGTGGGGGTCACCTAGTTGTGATGTCACTGGGTTTGGAGCCTGATACCAACATTACTCATAAAGTCTGTACTGCTTGACACTGTGTTCCAAAAAATAGAATGGCCTTTTGTTTTGAATATTTTTGAGCATGGTTTTCAGTTGAATCTAAAACATTTAAAAAATGTTAAAAACAAAAAACAAAAAAATAAATTACAGCAAAGTGGTATCTCAATAAACATTTTATGTTGTTCAGAAGAAATTAAATTCTTCAGTTTAGTTGAATATTTTGTGATTATTTTGTCAAGGTTCTTTGATGAGAAGGAAACCTGGGAAATATACAAGCAGTTTCTGTGGGGTCCAGCTTTTATGGTGACTCCTGTCATTGAACCTGTAAGTATGTCATTTGTTGAATTATCAAAATAATAGAATTTTATTTCAGATTATTTAAATGACTTTCTTTTTCAATTCCAGTTCATGACCAGTGTGAATGGCTATGTTCCTATGGCTCGATGGTTTGACTATCACACAGTAAGTTTTGCAAGAATATTAGGAAGTTAAATAAGCAGAAATTACATATTAATAATATATATAATATATTATTAATATTTGATTATTCATATAATTTATGGATGTTTATTTTCTGCTTCAAAATTCTGAATTGTTTACGTGGAGTTAATTATATTTGATTTAAGCTAACAAACCATGGTACAATTAATTTCCCTGGCTTTAGTGAGTTATGCAATCAAAGATTCGTTTTGGAAAATAAGCACAGAAATGTATACTGTATAACAAAGTTCTGCTGCCTCTTTTGGCTATGCAAAAATGATCATTAAAATAATGGAGATCTTCATTCTCTGTGACCTTGTGAAATCCACACTTTCTATGTATAGGAATTCTGAGACCAAATGACATCTGAGAATAACACTTTAAATCAGAGGATGTTTTTAAAAATGTGTGTTTTGTTCATTTTTTTGTAGAAAATTGTGACTCTTGATTTCATAAATGTGCTTTCTTCCATCTTACATTACTGATTATGTCATTTCTCATCCTCCACCTCCCCTACTTCAATTACCAGGGGGAAGACATAAAGGTCAGAGGAAAACTTCATACATTTTCAGCTCCTTTTGATACAATAAATCTACATGTCAGAGGAGGTTATATTCTACCATGTCAAGAACCAGCACAGAACACACATCTCAGGTAAGTAAATTGTTTTTAGAACTGTAATTGCATTTTGTAAGCTATCTGTCTCTCAAAGTCAGTAAGTAATTAAAAATGTCTGAGCTTTTCCCTGTAATCCTTCTGTAGTAACTTGGGTGTTTAGTGATAAACAGAAGGCATGGCAGAAAATGAGGCTATAGATGAACTTCAGCTTTCCCTGTTTTCTAGTCCAACTGGGATGACAGAAAGCCATCCTGGTAGAAGTCACACTTAAAGCTTTGAGTCAGCTGCGTATCCACTGATATGGGGAGCTGCATATTTGGTTGTAAGATGCAATCAGTCCTGCTTATTGTTTGCTTTAAGAGGAACATTCACTATAATGAAGAGTTTCAATATCACCTAACTACAATTTTCCTTAAAATGTAATTTCAAAAGAAAAGCTGCTATTATCTCTCTACATGCAATATGCAAAATGTTGAAGACTCATGGAAAATTGTCTTCCAGTGAAACATCCCTTTAGAAGTGAGGCTTCCCTATGAAATGTAAAACTAAAGCTTCCTGACCTCTGTATATCATATGCATAAGTATTCATAAATTAATAGTTTGTCTTTTGAGGCTTAAGGGAGGGCATCATCTTTTTTTTTTTTTTTACTTTTATTTATAACTGTGACGTGGAATTAGTGACACTTCTTAAAAATATTCATTTCTGATTTATTTTTCTTTTTGAGGCAGGGACTTAAATAGTATAAACAGATTTTCAACTTCCTATGTAGCAAAGGATGGCCTTGAATTTTGATCTTCCTGTCTCTGCATCCTGGGTTCTACTGGGATTTCAGGTGTTTTCTACCTTTCTTATCATATTCAGGGTTAGAGCTTATACCATGAGAGCATGCTGGGCAATCTGTCAAACTGAGCTACATTCCCAGACCTGAAAACAGCATTTTTGTAAGACTCTCTAGAATACAGATATGAATTGTAGAAAAGCAAGACGAAAGAATAGTGTTTTCAATGTCTTTGCCATTTTCACAGGCTCTGTATCACAAACAGCTCCACCATATCTGATGATGCTCCATGGACATACCACTTTCACAAAGTGTCTGTAGTTTATAACAGGGCTCGTGCCTGTTCTTTAATAATCTGTGGTTTTAAGTGAATAATATCACACAGAGCAGACCCATTATTCCAAACAGCTTTTGTTTTCTATCTGACCAATCCCATGAAATCAATAGCAATCACTGAGACTTTGGCATTCAGCATCTGCAGCTCATAGAGTGACATGTTTTTGGAACTACAGAGCAAGTAGCCTTTTCAGTCTACTTTCATTCATTATATACTACATGCACATAGTCCTTCCATCTCCCAATATTTTATCTTATTGACTTATCACTGAATGACACTTGAGTGTATAAAGCTTACAGAGTTGAAGTCCCTTTTATTTGATGACTTCCTTTTTTGATTTATATTTAGTTTTGTTGCCTCTATCTCCTCATTTCCATTCTGTGGTATATTTTCTTACTGATACTTTATGGAAATAAAGATATCCATTAATGATAAAGTAAATTAACAGTTAATAATGGTTATGGTTAATATCTATTAAGAATAGAGTTAACAATAGTTCTTTATGGTTGGAGGTGCAAGATCTGCCTACATTCCAGTTTTCTTTAGTCTTACCCTAGGTGAAGACTGGTGGAGATATAACTATGAACACTGGACACTATTGTTATTTATCACTTAACAAAATGCCTAGTTCATTTTTTAAAATCTATAAGGATTGCTACTGATATGTCCAACCTCCAAGAATCATGTGTTACATGATTCTGTTACATTGGTCGATGTAAGAGTAACTCTTTCCTTTCACTTCTTACTCTCACCTATGGCTATCTCTTGGAAATCTATAGGATGGCATCTGAGAAGCCATGAACAGTTAACTACTTGAGCCATTTCTCCATACATACTGAAAAATTTCTCCATATATTATTGAAAAACTTAGTTGTACAATTATGGATATATTATGAAACTTAGGAATAGGATGCATTTCAATATCTGTAATTATCATATCAAAGCAGAAAAGAATAGTTTGTTAAAGATACACCTTTTTTTTTTAACAATTTGATGCTGTCAAACCAAGTTACTTCTCATACACTGTTATAGAGTGAGCTGTGTTTAATTAATAAGTATACATGTGTAGACATGAGCTGAGAGGCATTTTTCAATTAAAAAGGATGAAGTTAGAACCATGACGTTATTCTTTGCATTATTATTAATATGTAATTAAAATGGAATGTTTTGTGAAGAAATGTTGCAGCGAAGGTATTAAAAATTATATTACTGGGGCTGAGACTAAAGCTCAATTGGGGAATATTGGACATACATGTCTCTGACCCTGGTATATGAGAAGAATGGAAGGAAGTGGGGGCATAGGCTGATAAGAGGAAGAGACTGATTAAAATAGTGATGCATAAAAGTAAGGGAATCTGTAAACCTAATGTTTTCAATTACTATGAATGACTCCTCTTCTGATTATTGGCAGTAGGTGAACTCTTAAAGCTAAATGACATTTGAAATATTTTATAATAAATATGTTGAATTTCCTTTCTGTATGACTTTTTCTCACTTTGTAGAAGTAGACTTCTTCATTTTCTTCCATGACTATCATATTATAAAGGATCATTCTCTGCAAACATAGAATTTCATATTTTTTTTCTTGTAGTCGACAGCAGTACATGAAGCTCATCGTTGCTGCAGATGACAACCAAATGGCACAAGGAACTCTATTCTGGGATGATGGAGAGTCTATCGGTAAGTCTTCCATTCAGATACATGTAACTGACAGCTATTGAAATAATCTTGTCTTGTGCACTATGTAAAGCTTGTCTTTGTACTATTCAAAGATATGTGTGTTGATTTCTACCTTCAGGAGCGTTGTATACAGGCTGGGTCTTTGTGTTATTATTTTTCTTGGATCATCATCCACCTATGTATTTTGTAAACATTCATCACCATAATCTTCTGATTGGTTTAATAATGATCTGACTGCTTATAGCATGAGATGAGAGAAAAGGCAGGACTTTTTGGCACAGTTAGGATCCCCAAGAAAGAATCATGTGTGAGTATTTGTGTATATGAATGTGTGTGTGTGTGTGTGTGTGTGTGTGTGTGTGTTTCTCCAGTAGGACATGAAGGTGGAAGGTACCAGTGTTGAGTCTGATTATGTGAGAGGTGGTAAGGGGCCAACGGACAGGAAGGATGTGGAATAGAATAGTCGGGTTAATTTAAGCTAAACAAGTTAGAAGAGACATATTTAAGGCCTATGCTTAATAAATTAATAATAGTCTCTCAGTCATTCTTGGGAAGCTTGCAAGTCAGGTCGAGACAGTCGAGTGATAGATACTATGCATATATTCGTTTTTTTATTAGATATTTTATTTACATTTCCGATGCTATCCACTTTCCCCATACCCCCCAGAAACCCCATATCCAATCCCCCTTTCTCCTGCTTCTATAAGGATGTGCCCCCACCCACTCCCCAACTCCAACCTCCCCAGCATCGAGTTCCCCCACACTTGGGCATCCAGCCTTCACAGAACCAAGAATCTCCTCTCCCGCCTATGCCTGACAAGGTCATCCTCCCCTACATATACAGCTGGAGTCATGGGTTCCTCCCTATGTGCCCCCAGGTCGGTGGTTTAGACCCTGGGAGTTCTGGTTGGTTGGTATTGTTGCTTTCCCCATGGGGCCACAAAACCTTTCAGCTCCTTCAGTCTTCTCTCTAACTCCTCCATTGGGAACCCCTTGATCAGATCAATGGTTAGCTGTGAGCACCCACCTCTGTATATGTCAGGCTCTGGTAGACTTTTAAGGAGACAGCTAGATCAGGCTCCTGTCAGCATGCACTTCCTGGCATCCACATCAGCTTCTACATTTGGTGACTGCACATTAGATTGATACCCAGGTGACACAGTCTCCACATGGCCCCTCCTTCAGTTTCTGTTGCACATTTTGTCTCCATATTTGCTCACCTGATTATATTGTTACTTCTTCTAAGAAGGAGTGACACACCAACACTTTGGTCTTCCTTGTTCATGAGCTTCATGTGGTCTGTGAATTGTATCTTAGGTAATGAGAGCTTTTGGGCTAATATCCATTTAACTTTGACTGCATACCATGTATGTTCTTTTGTGATTTATTACGAATACATATTGTGAGAGTTGGGAAAATACTTCGACTAGTAAAGGGCTTGCCTTGAAAACAGGAGAATCTGACTTCTGTGACCAGAACATATATCCCTTAGCGGTTTTTTTTTGTTTTGTTTTCATTTTTTTCCAAAATAATGGTAGTGAGTTCTTGCAATCCTAGACTGAGGAATTAGAGACAATCTTATCTTTCATGTGAGGAGTAAGCAATATAGTCTGTGGTCTATATAACAAGCTCTGGGCTAGTAGGAGAAGCTATCTCAAAATGTAAATCTATCTATCTATCTATCTATCTATCTATCTATCTATCTATCTATCTATCTACATAATCTGCCTTTTACAAACAAATGAACCCAAATATATATAAGCACACATATATGTATACATTCTTAAATGAAAATCTACATGTCTATGTGAATATATAGAAAGAAAATATTCATAGTAAAATATCAGTTTTGGAATCAGCAAAATTTTCAGCAAGTTAATTTTCATAAAGCTAACGACACAAATAGACTATGATTTGCCCATTTTTCCATGTGTGACTAGATGAGGAATTAGAAGACATCAGCTTTTCAGCACTATGCCAGTCCGTGTTTCCATCATACACATGCCAGTGCTTTTTGTGCCATTTTATAAATCTTCAGTTCTTGTATGGGTACAAGAAAAATCATGATTTTTTTTTAAGTTTCTCCATTTTTTGCTTGTGACAAATTTCCTCATTGTACAATTAGAATAGCCATAATAATACTGATTATTATGATAATGGCAATGTACATCTCCTTTATTATTTCTGTTATGGTAATTAAATACAATAGAAAGTCATAAGTAAATATTAGCTATATTATTATTATTAGGACAAGATGGACTTTAGATAAAGTCATGGACATAACTTTTTTATTTGTTTTGTGTGTTTCTTTTACTTTATCGTGAAATGCATCCATAGAATATGGTATCATTTTTACCTGGGAAGTTAAATAAGTATGCTGCAAGTTACTATCATTGTTTGAAAAGAAAATCACTTAACATTTCTTTCTCTCTCCAGACACTTATGAAAGAGATCTATATACCTTAATACAATTCAATTTAAATCAGGTGTGTATTATCTTCTATAATAAATTTTACTAAATAATGTATAGAGTTTTATTTACTAAATAATGTATAGAGTTTTAAAGCCCTAAGGGCTTTTTATTTTCCACTATAATTTTGGGCCTGTCTCCAAATTTGGTAAATATGCACACATATGCAATCTTTAAGTTCCTTCTTATCCAAGCTCTGTGAATTCATGACCAAAATGTTGGGCTTAATATATTGTATATATATTAAGTGTATATTTATTCACTATATAAAATACATCATGTAATATACTTGAATCACTTATTTGCTATTCAATGAGACTCAATTTAGTTCACAGATGTGTATTTTCTTAGTATTTACTTGAATTTTTAAAGGAGACTTTGTTTTTCTTTGCCTTTATAGACAACTTTAACAAGCACAGTATTGAAATACGGGTATAGAAACACATACGAGATGATTCTTGGAAACATCTATGTATGGGGGAAAGGAACAACCCGTGTCAGTGAGGTTAATATGATTTATGGTGGAAATAAACAACAAGTTACATTTACTCAAGATGAAGCAAAAGAGGTGAGTGACATAAAATATGCTTTACTCAAGCATGCCTCTGAGAAATATCTACATGACTCCTCATGGCCACCACCAGAACTAAAGAAACAGAATTACAAATAAGCTGTGATGTTTGCCAGTTATCTAATTTTGTTATGCCCATATATTTATTTATGTGTTAATATCCTCAGTAATTTTACATACAAATAATTTAATGGCAGACATTTTACAATTTTTCTTATACAGATAAGCAATATTAATTTAGATTATAGTTTCAAATTGCTATCACTTGCAACAATTCCTCAAATACTATTTTTAATAGCAAGATTTACATTTGAGCATTGCATATATTTTAGACAAAAAGCCTCTGAAACTGTTTCAAAACTAATGTAGCCCCATTTAGGAGAATGAATATTGTCATGAGAAAGAATAGAGACTCTGAGCAAGGCATGAGAATTTCTGTGTCAGAACAGCACCACTGCACCTAAGGGCTTTTTATTTTCCACTATAATTTTGAGCCTGTCTCCAAATTTGGTAAATATGCACACATATGCAATCTTTAAGTTCCTTCTTATCCAAGCTCTGTGAATTCATGACCAAAATGTTGGGCTTAATATATTGTGTGTTTAAGAAATCATTTCCTGTGTTTCCACTGGGTGAGGTCACATGTTCATGTCTGTGACCATGAGGAAAGCATGCTTTTCAAATTTAAACTTGTGTGGAAAGAGCCACCCATCAAACAGTCAGCTTAAGGGAATGTAATTCACAGTTACTGGCTGTTCATCTTTAGTTTGAAAGAAAGACAGCTTTAGTCAAGCTGAGGTTCTAATGGATCCCAGGCTGCTAGTGTTCAACATCACCTGGGCTCCAGTTTGTTGTACTTGAATCTGAACATTATCTGTGCCGACACTTTCTAGTTTTCCCGTTGGATGGATCTACCCTTCAACTTAGAATCTAATCTTCTACTACTGCAACGATAAACTTTTTATTTTATTTTTTTTATTCAATTATGTCAGCATTGAGGAAGGGTAGTAGTTTAGAATATTTGGTGCCCTTTCTTGGTAAAAGTTAATAATTTAGTCCCACAAATCTATGTTGTTTAGAAACATTGTCCCTACTTATAAAATTTCTAGTAAAAATAATACTGATTTAGTCTTTTTGTCAGAGGTAGAAGACAAGCCAATCATTTCCCTTAAAGGCAAATTGATTTTTCAAGATGCAGGTTTTATTCACCATTAATCACAGTTTTAAAAAAATTGGATTGTATTTCCTTTTATTTAGTTAAATTGAAAAAGAGATGACATACTTTTTATGTTCTTTAATATATAGTTAATAATAGTATGTAAGCCTCATGATTTCAGTATAAAAAATGAAGTGCATAATAATAAGCTGGTCGGGGTCAAATGAGGTATCCTGACATGTTATTCCAAGTTTATTTGGGACAATTGCCTCATGTAAAAAATAGTCTTTCAAAAGAAGTTTGTTTCATTAACTCTAAATCTTTGCACAGAAAGTTTAAATGCTAAGAAAATTAGCTCAATGATTTATGAAGTATTTCATTTAAAATAGAAACTTTTTGCCATTCCTTATAAGTCTCTGTCTATAATTATAGACATAATTATATCTCATGCATAATTATATATTTCTAAGTCACTTGTGTTAATATCCAATACCAGTCACCATCAAAAACAGAGAAATCACATTACACAAAATAAAAAGGTTTTATTTCTGTATTTAGATTATATTTGTAAGTAACAACAACTAATGGGAAAAGAGGCCATGAATTTTCAAAATTGCAAAATGGAGTATCTCAGTTAGGAAGGAGGAAGAAGGAAAAATATGTAAATAGGTAGTTATAATATCAAGAAAGTGTGAGAAACATATGTGTGTGTATTATATTGTATTATATTATACTATATTATATCATATATTTATTATATAATCAAGTTGACACACCCTAGAATACTCTGGACAAGCATCTCTATCATTTTAAAGCATTGTCTAGACTATATCGGCCTGTGGGGATGTCTGTGGGACTTTATCTTGATTATGTTTACTGATGTGGGAAGACTCAGTACACTATGGAAAACACCATTCCATTTCATGAGTCTGTGTCCTAGAGTATATGAAGACTACGTGAGTATATCAGTAGAAAAAAAAATACACATACCCTTGATTGATGCCATCTACTGTGAATGTGAAACAGTTCAATGAGATGTGATCTGTGACATGACGTGACATGATGTGACATGACATGGGGCAATTAAGTTCCTGCCTCTCAGAATTCCTGGATGTGATGAACTATAAACTGGATTGTAGGACAAAGCAACCTCATCTGACCACACCTAAAGCAAAGAACATGTATGAAAACCAATATGTAAATAAGGAGAAGCTACATCTGCTTACATAGAGATAAACTGAGATGAAAATAGTGTTTGTTAAATAAGAAAGACAAGAAAACTACAATTATACTTAAGTGATTAACTTCAACTTTACTTTCTGATTTTAGATACTAACAATTAACCTGCAAACTATGCATGTTACTCTTGATGAACCAATAGAAATCAGCTGGTCATGAAGATCATCATCAGTTTGAGTTCCTGTGGTGGAGTTGATATCAGGTCCATGGTTCTACTTGCATCTTTCCTGACTACCTACTTTCTTTAAAATAGAATTATCACACCCTTTGTCTAAATATTTGTCCATTGTGTGCATCAAAAGAAGTACTAGTTTGTTCTATGAATGCAACCTGGATGTCACTGCTCAGCAGGTTTAACAGGGTTTGAATAATTTTAATACTTTTCAAGCAACAGCTAAACCTGTAAACTTGTATGCATGTAACTAGAATATGACTAAAGGAAGTGATTTTTAAATTAACAAAATGTATGTAACTATAAATTATATATAATAATACATTCAATTGTGTAGACTAAACTTATTTAACAAATCACAATATTTCATCATTTTGTACTATGCATATTTCATTATGAAACTGAAAATAAAAGTTGTATAAATACACTAAGATGTGTGGGTTTTTTGTTTGTTTGTTTGTTTGTTTGTTTTAAGAAGCTCTTGCATTCAGGTTGGGATGCTAAAATGAGCCAATATAATAGCATGGCGTTTTCATCAAAACATCAAATGCTCCGAGGTCTTTAGTCTAAGTTCTTTAAGTCTGAAGATCGTGCAGTACACTATATAGTTTTGCATTGACAGATGACAGAGAAGAAGAGAACAGAAGTATCTTCCTCATATTTCTTCTTTACTGGATATTAACACTTATACAAGAACTCTACCCTAATGACCTAATTTTCCTCAAAGATCCATTTCTAAATGTCATTATATTGGTGCTTGGGATACACTTGTTATAACTCCTATGTTTGTTAAAATCTATTTTCTTTGTTTGGTTTCACTTTACATGCAAGGGAAGAAAATAGTGTTGTTTATTCTTAAATATTCAGGCTCCAGAGAGTCATTCTTAAAATAGAACTCCATGTTGTTTTTGAGTTTAAAGATTTTAATATAGCTACAGTAACCAGCACCAAGATTGGAGTGAAAAGGATTGGCACTTAAGTCAGTAGAACAGAATACAAAAATATCACAAAAACCTGAGAACAGCAGAAAGGCAAGTTGGATAATGTTTCAATCTTCTGTTGTTTAAAAAATAAACCAGTAAATGAAATTATGACTTGTTTTACCTAATATGTTTCCTAAATAAACATTATTCCTTAGGAACAGAATCAAAGAATAAAAGATGTTTTATAACTTTAAAATAATTTAAGGATAATTTTTTCTTTATTTAAAATAGATTTTTTCTCATAATATATCTTGATGGAAGTTTTCCACACTCAGTGCTACTCCTTCAATTCGTCCCCAGAACCCCTCCCCTCCCAATTCTCGTTCTCCCTCTGCCTCCCCGCGCCTCCCGCGCTCGCTCGCTCTCTCGGCCGCTCCCCCTCCTCCTCTCCTCCCCCTCTTTGTCCCTCCCCCTCCCCCCCGCCTCTCTCTCTCTTCTCCACAAAGAACAGGATTGTTAGGGGTAACTACCATTCATGACAAAATAAAATATAATAATATGAAGCAAAAATTACCAAATTGAACATGTCAATCCAACAGGAGGAACAGAGTCCTAGAAACAGCCCAAAAATCAGAGAGTCACTATTTCTCAACGTTGAGAATCATATAAAAATACTAAGCTAATAGCTATGATCTATATACAGAGCACCTGGTATAGACCCATGTAAGCCTTTTGCTTGCTCCTTCAATTTCTGGAAGTTCACAAATATCTTGCTTAGTTTGTTCAGAGGTCCTTGTTCTTCTGCTGACCATCATCCCCTCTTGCTCTTATACTCTTTCTGCCTCCTCTTCTGTCAGATTCTCTAATCTCTGAGGCAGGGATTTGATAGAGATCTGTAATTTAGACCCTCTTTGCTGTTTTCGTTGATGCTTTTTTCTTTTTTTTTTTTTGTTTGTTTGTTTTTCAAGACAGGGTTTCTGTGTGTAGCCCTGGCTGTCCTGGAACTCACTCTGTAGACCAGGCTGGCCTTGAACTCAGAAATCAACCTGCCTCTGTCTCCCAAGTGCTGGGATTAAAGGTGTGTGCCATATCCACCCGGCTAGACTCTCTTTGTATAATGTCTGGCTGTGGGTCTCTCCTTTTGTTCTCATTTCCTGCCAGAGGAGGCTTTTCTGATGATAATTAGATAAAACTTTGATCTGTGAGTGTAGCAGAATATCATTAAGAATCATTTTATATTGATTCTTTTTAAAGATTAGTTGGTTTTACCCTCATTCTCCAGGCTATCTAGTCTCTGGTTCTTGGTTACTCAAGCAGTGCCATGTATGAATTCACATTTCATGGAATGGACCGATGTCAAATCAGTCATTAATGGTTACTCCCACAAGTTCTGTACCAACATTGACCTAGCATATCTTGCAGGCTGGAGAGATTATAAGTCAAAGAACAACAAGACAATAAACACAAATAGCCAAATAAAAAGAAAGGCATTAAGCCCAGTTATATAAACACTCTCATGATCACTGTTTCTAAGGGCTTATCAGGATGATCAAAATATCTGAGCCTACTTCCTTGTCCTAGAACAAGGTCATTTTCATGTCTGAAGCCTATTTCTTTGTTCTAGCCTAATATTTAGATTTCTGCCTGAAATTACTTCTTTGTTCTAGCCTAAGATTTAGATTCCTACCTGAAATTACTTATTTGTTCTAGCCTAATGTCAGATTCCTGCCTGAAGTCTACTTCCTTGTCCTTGGCAAATGTCATATTTCTACCAAGCAGCCCCTAATCTTGTCCTTGGCCCATGTCAGCTTCTTCTTGCCAAGCAGCCCCAAAGGCTCTCTACCTCTTCCCTTTATTTCATTAAGAATACTGAGCCTGTCTTAGGTCATTCTGACAAGAATGCCTTCCTTACCTGTCACGGAATATTCATTAACAAAATCAATGCACTTCTGTCATAGATTGGTAAGTCTCTGTGGAGAATCTTACCTGTCCTTGTCTTGCCAGCCTGTTAATTTAATAACTCTATCTGGAGGGTCCATTTTCAGGTTCAAGCCATGTACTTCAGCTGCCAACATGTTGATGTTGTTGAATAAAAGCTTTAACACAATGGGCAAGGATAAAAGTATTCCCAGGACAAAAAGGGATAGCATGATCAAGCTATATATGCCATATTTTGAAGCTTGACCAAAATAGAAATACTGACCTCAGGCCATGGGTAATTTTATCTGCAGTATCTACTGCATCAACACTCAGCAGAGCAGCATTCTTGATATTCATAAGCTCCCTGTATATTGCTAAAATTTCCAGAGATGTGTTAGAATTATGCCAAATACACTTCAAGTGTCATTAACTTCTTCCTAATTATAATGACTACCACTGTAAATTTTTTTCCTCGAAAAAAAATTAGTTATAAAATCCTATAATGGAATTATACTGAATTATGATAACATGCCTGCCACCCAGAGCAAGCTTTGATTCCTTAATCAACTCTGATTTCATAGGACAACCCCACTTCTCAGAGACTCCCCAAAATGCTTTCAGAGGTACTGTGTCGGGCCAACATTTGTTTCCTTCCCCTTCACAGTTAATTGATTTCATAATTTACATCTTTCCAACAGCATCATCATGCTGGAGTATAGTAACAAAGCACGGGATCTAAACTAGGCATCTGTCTTCTTTCTTATGGTTCCTAATGACAATACTGAATTTATCATTTAAAACAATAATTTTTGTGTGAAGCTTAATTAATAAAGTCTTATTAAATTAAAATGCATTATTTACTGCATAATCCGAAGACTAATAACTTGATTTAATTTTCCTTTGCTCATTTCACAGGTAAAATTGTGAAAGATTCCAGATACCCATTTCAATATGAAGATAGACAAGTAGTACTTGAGTTGTAGTCGAAAATAGGATTTTTGTATTGTCTTTTCCAAAGAGACTGTGGAAATTAATATCTCCAACCAACCTGTCATAACACATGTCACATTTGCACAGGATGGACCTTTCCACACTTGCACTATTAGTTGTGGTTCTGCCTATAATTTTCTCCACTACATGTCAAAATAGAATCTTAATCTCTAATGAGGGTTGTGAATTTAAGCATTATAATGAGTCATAAGTCAAATGCAGGTAATCTGGAGCATTTCTGGTTCCAGCTACTTCTAGCTAGTATCTTCTTGGGGGCAAGAAGGTGACATGGAGTTTCTAACCTTCACAAATCAGTTAGAGCAATTTGCAAACTCCTTGTATACACATATATATACAAGATTGTCTTATGCTTTCTTCAAGAACCTGTCAAGTTGAAAATTAATTCCAACCATTACATTTGGGTATTACTTCGGGATCTTCTTGAGATATAACACACCAACCAGGATTTGAGAATATCAGCTTTTCTATCACATAATTCCTGCCCCCTCCCAGTCACCAGAATGTTATCTTTTATTTTTCATAATTTTATTCTGTCATTGATCTTGTTAAGATGATAACTTTATTTCTCATGACCTTTTTTGCCATTGTAAAAAAAGTGAAATACCCTGAAAAAAAATGAAATACCCTGAAACATCCAAACACTTTGCTTTTGTTTTTGTTATTTTTGTTTTGTTTTTTCTTACTTTCTTTGTTTTTAATGCTTTGAAATTCAGCTTTGTAAATTTAGGTAAATACAAAGCACAACAATCAAAGACACATAAATTAGAAGTCTTATGTGTATAAGCCATAACCTTTTCCATATTGTAATGTTTAATTGTGATAAACAGAAAAATGTCACATTTACATGGCTAAAACCTACAACCTTTGAAAATGTAAGTTTATATGATTTTTAAAAAATCATCAAGGTTTAAGAGAGTTTCTACTAAACAGAACTTGAGATGGAGATACAATAATTGATAGATTTTTTAAAAGATAATCAGAGAGATTTTCAGGAACTCTGAAGCCGAGAAAAAAAACTCAGTTTTTTGAAGATCAAAATGATCCCCCCACACACACTTACACAGAAAAAAAAAACACATACACTCACAAACGGACACATACATTAATACCTATACACTTGTAAATACATCTCACATGCATGTACATGTATATCAACACACACACACACACACACACACACACACACACACACATATATATATATATATATATATATATATATGTATTCACATATGTAAAAAAATACACACACCACACATGCACACAAGAATGCACACACATTGTGGAACAGAAAAGTTAAAAACATAAATTTCCTGCTGCAGTATCAGAACATGCTCTTCTTCTGCTACTTTGAGTTTTACTATGCACACTCATTTTAGAATTCTGTCATTTGAAGCCAAAGCATGTGCTGTTTATACATACTATTACTATTTTGATTATATATGTGTATAGTTAATATTTTGAGCATGATATTTTTATTTTCAAAATTTGCAAATATGTAAAATTAAACATTCTTATGGAGTACCATATTTTGATTAGTTTGCATCACAGAATGTCTACATACACATAAATA